AGTTTGGATCTCGAGAAAGGACATAGGATAGTTTTTAAACCAAAAATCTGCAGGAACAAAGTTGCGGGCAAAAGCTTGTTAGATATATTTGAGGCGGTATGAGTTTGCCGGGTTAACTAGTCTTTAATAAGTATCAATTAATTAATATGTTGTTTGTTGCTTGTGTAGTAGCAATCGTGACATTAAAAAAACTAGCCTACCCCAACTCTGATTTGCTATCCAGGTCAAACTCCGTTAAACTAATAATATAATAGAATCCATTGACATCTTAAAGGTAGTGTGAGACGTCAGCTAGTGAATTTCAATCCAGTGAAAAATACAAAACTAAGGAAAAACGGGTGTTTCTTTGAAAAAGTCCTATTTTTGGATTGATTTTATGCTTTTATGTTCTTAACAGCTCAAAAGTTTCCTATTAAAATAAAAAGCAATACATTGTTTTTATTATGAAATATATAATCTTATCAAATCTAAGCCTATTTGTATGAAGTGCTAAATGGGGTCTAGATCATTATCGTCTTAATTCAACAGTACATTCTTTAAGATCAGATATGATTACACAGAATATAAAAATATACTATTTAGGTGTGAGAGAGATATGCTACGGCACGAATGGCTCGACTGGAATGATACCACGGTCACACAAAAACGAGCTGAAACTACCACAACGTTGTGTTTCGCTGTGTGAGTTAGGTTACCGGTGGCCCAATCCTTTGCCTCCCCCAATCCCTCCTCAATTCCAAAATCTCCAAATCCCTAATCCCCAAATGGTAACGCACTCGTTACTCTTTGTTGTCCAAGGGCAGCGCTGATTGCTTTTCATCAGGTAATCCGTTTGCACTGATGTGGTATACACTGATAGGGATGTTCAAGCACATCCTTATCTATTTTGGTCATTAAGAGCGAATAAGACTAAGTTTTAGAGACACTCCCTCTTCCACAACCTGGGCAAGACAAGTCATTTGATGATTTTCGCCCTTTAAAAAAGAACTTGAACATTAAACATAATTTTTAAGTAATAATATAATTCAATAATTACAAAACCGCCACGATAATTTGCATGCAGCTGACCTCGTGCATTTTAAATGCTCGGATCGATAGAGTTCACCCCTTAACACAATATTATGTTAGTTAGAGTTTCTGCCATCAGCTCTGCTTTTAAACCAGGATAGAAAGCTACCCGTGTGTTATTCTTTTTTTATGCCAACGGCCAACGAGCTGGCGGATTACCTGATGGTAAGCAAACAGCGTCGCCCATGGACGCTCATAACACTGGAGTAACTAATACTACAAGTGCGTTGTCAACTCTTTGTGGGTTATTAGGGATTTAAGAATAGAAAGAAAGGATATTCCAGACACTTATATATCTCCGTGCCAAATTTAATTCAAATCCGTTCAGTAGTTTTACACGAAAGAGATATAGTAACATCCATCCATACTACTACCCTACCTTATAATTTTTTTGTAATAATAATGATGAGGAACAAGCCCTCCTACCTCATTCTTGCCTTAATTGGCTGGCTTGAGTGGAGATTCAAGAGTAGGAGACTCGGGGGAAGGATGTATCCCAGTAAGGCGCTGGTAGGGGTCTTGACCGTACTTCCGGGATTGCTCTGATAGCCGTGGGATGCCTCTCCTTCCCCAAGCAGCTCAACGTATGTTGCCCCCTTGTCGCTACATGCCAGCGGCCGTTTCCGGGGGCCCATTAATTGAGTTTGCCAGTCACCCCCTGCCTGTTTATCCGTATGTATCAATATTGGTCAGGGGCAGGGGCCATAGTATTTCCATAGTTATCATATCCACCAGTCCATAGCAACCCATACCTATAACCCTATCAATTTTTACCACATTTCACAATAGTCTTGCATCAACCGGGGATTGTCCTTGGGTGCACTTATATAGTGCATACAGGGATAATTGCCGGCTGATGTCCCATCACATTTAGATTAAAACTGTACAACGGGCCTCTGCGAGTTGGCTTCGGCTCTTCGTACGCCTTCCAAAGGTCCGGGACCCTGTGGTCCTGTGAAAGGAGAGAATAATATTAGTAGGATTCTTCGACCGCACATTCTCACAAAACCAGTAGCGACTTTTTCATAATCCTCGCGCCAAGCTTATTATTTTTGAGGGTGGAAAATCATCTAATGAATAATTCTCTTGTCTGGGGTTGGGCGCGAGGGAGTGTCAGACTTCTGCTCCTACTCCCTCGACATCGGCTGTTCAAAATAGCCTTTAATTATTCGAATTTAGTATTAAATTACATGATATAATGAAATACATGAATGACTATAACCAGACATTACCAATTCAATATATAAGGTTCATTATTACCGCTGTCTTATTCACTGCAACTAGTCACCATTTGGTATGCAATTTGTAGTTTTATTTGCTTGGTTTTTTCCTTCTTATTGCGAACTAGCGGCTTCGGCACGGTAGCAATGCTAATACTAAAGTTCTCCACTATTTGACGCGTCGTATTATACAGATACACCTACCTCTTCAATCGCACTATATATTAAAACCGATTCAAAATCGGTTGCAGAGTTTTAGAGATTTATGCGCACATAGGTATATAGGGACAGAAAAGCGACTTTGTTTTATACTACGTAGCGATGTGATTCATCAATTTAAGGCCACATCATATAAACATATCAAAGGTTCTTCCCAGACGAGCTTAAGATCAAAGTTATCAACTAATACTGCAGTTCATGCGGATTATATGAATTAATAATTCGATCCAATCCAGTATTATCAGCAGTAATTAAAAATTTATCGATAAATTTCTATGTGTACATACTTTACATATATTATGTGTATAATTAAGACGATAAATGAACGAAATTGAATAAGTTATGCACCTATTACGGTAGAACTTACACGTGGTCCCTGTTTTCTAGCCTTCTACAAGGTCTCAGAATCGCTCAGTGCGTGATGAAACGGACGAAATCCGAAATGAGTAAATTCTCCAAAGAACCAAAGACACCGACATAGCTCGTAAAATCTGCACTAAAGTGGCATTGGGCAGGCCACGTCTCTCGAAGGACGGACGGCCCATGGGCCCGAAAAGTACTAGAGTGTCGACCAAGGACCGGCAAACGTAGCGTGGGCAGGCCTCCCGCTAGGTAAACCGTTGGCATCGTCAGAGTCGCCGGGAGCTAATGGATGCAGATGGCAACATGTCGTTTGACGTGGAAGACCATGGGGAAGGCCTTGGTTCAACAGCGGGATAAGGATCCGAGCAAGTTCCCTGCAAAATCATCATCATCATCATCGGCGGCCGAAAGACGTCCACTGCTGGACAAAGGCCTCCCCCTTAGATCTCCACGTCGAACGAAAATGTCGATAAAAAAGGGGGAGGGGGGTTGCTATAATCCCCACGCTTGGCAGGCGGCTTGGGGATCACAATAGGGTCACCGATATATGGATGGAATGCTGCTGCCCACTCCTCGGTGTCTGTTCGCAGTTTAAGGACTTACCCGGGTCCAAAATATTTTTATGTAATTATTTATATTCGATTATATCATTATGTTCTCCTTACATCTTCTAAAGGTTGGTTAACAAGAATACATATGGCATTATTAATTCCACCCTTGTTCAAATTATTGCAAAAAATTAAAAAAATGAAATAAATTACTCCTTATGCATTCCATAACCACTATGCAAAAGTATGTCACATCTACAAAGCATATTTTACTCATAATAAGAAACGTGACGTCATTAAACTTATTCAGTGCGTTCCGTTAAGTGATTTTCATTACAAAAGTACCAGGGAGTCATGACTGTGAGACAATGTATTGAGATTAGTTTTACTCAGTAAAGTATAAAGGAGTCGTGAGCTTGTTTATTAAGTAATCGGAATTACGTCTGACTTGGAAATTCTTTACTGCGTATAAGCAATGAGTAGGTTCATACAATGACAAAGAAACTGCTAAGAGTGATACCACAGCCTCACAGAAAGCTGATATGAAATTACCACAGTGTTATGTTATGTATGTTATGTTTCAACGTGTGAATGTGGTTATCCGAGGTCTGTCTTTCTCTCCCCTCCCCCATAGTGCTGTTAGTTCTCTAAGATAACTTACAGCTCCTGACCAGATTCAGACCCGAGCGTAAGGCGCGTAGCGTTTCGCGCGCGCCTCAAAGAGCCAATAGACAAACACAGATGGGGCCTAACATTCCTGATTTTCAGCTGAAGTTGCACCGTCAGCTTTGACCTAAGAAATGGGGGGTTATTAGTCAGTAACTCCTGAAAAGTCATTTGATGATGATGATTGCTATCACGGTCCGTAATAAAACGTGCCAATAGAGGAACGAACGGACAGACAGCAGGGTCTTAGATATAGAGAACCTTATTTTTACGCTTTGGGTATGAAACCATAAGAATGACGCCATTGCATTTATGTAATTGGACATTTTATTATGCATGATTTGAAAGCAGTACCCATTTAGTTACTCTTATTTAAAGATTGCTAGTTGTACTACATGCGGATTGGATTAGTGCCAAAACGATAAATTTGTCGAGTTCTTTTATTTCGTAGATTGATTGATCTTTATATATTTGAACAAATTTATATAAATTAATAATTAAGTAGTTTATTTCTCTAATCTAACTAGCAGAGCCAGCCATGCGCTGCTGTGACTATAAATTCAGATGTAAGCTATCCTATCTTTCAAAATGCACACGGAATGCAAATCAAATTTAAAATCGGTTTAGTAGTTTAGGAGTCCTTCGCGGACAAACAAGTGACACGAAATTTTTATATGTAAAGATTGGTAAGCTATTGTACCCTATTTTGCTAGATGTATCGTGTTGAGTGAGATTAAATAAATTGCACATATGCATATGTGCGTGAATAAACATAAATAGTATTTAATCAAATCTAAATCTTAAGTCCTTAACCTAAATAAAGTACTTATTATATTTTTTTCGATATTTACTATGGAAAACTGTTTTGAATGTTTTACTGTCAACATGTTTTAAAATCCACCATTATGAATTCCAGGTCTTCACAAATGCAACACCAGAACATTGGTGTGCCCCACCACCAGAACTGGACCATCTTGGATTACCAGATCAGCTACTTCGTTCCCTAACAGTACCAGGAGAGCAGGGAACGTACGAGTCATGCGCAGCGTACGATATAGACCGCAAGGAGTTACGTGAAGCGCTAAGGGATTTTGTTATAGAAAGGTAACTTTGATTTATGTTCTCCTGGTGACAAAGCAATTATTGGGTACACGTTATTTAGCCAGTGGTAGTTTGCCAAAACAAAATTTCACACATATAAATGTATATTTGGGACAAAAAGTATTTTAGTTCGTTCCCACGTTGACAGTTTTTATCTATTTTCGTCTAGACCGGCTAATACTTGCACCTTGTCAACACATTTATCCGCTGGTAAATAATTATTTGTACTTTTTTAGCGACCAAATTAGATCGTTGAGTGCCGAAAAGAGAGAATAATTATTGTTTTGACTACAAAGTTAGTAATATAGTATTTTTAAAGTGTGGGAGAGCCATGCCTCGTCACGAATGGGTCGGCTCGACCGGAGTTATACAAATGCCTCACAGAAAAATGGCGTGAAACAACCACAGCGTTGTGTTTCGACACAATCCTTACTCTCCCCCAATCCCTCCCTAATCCCAAAATCTCCAAACCTCTAATCCCCAAAAGGTTGGCAACGCACTCGTCGCTCTTCCGTTGTTGCGGGTATTGCCCAACCCTTTTCCCCTCACACGGAAGAACATAGTACTATGATTTTTTTCGGTTTTCTGTGAGGTAGTGGCTCTAATTTAGATAAATAGTTGCCTTGAATCTTTTGATTGCAATAAAAAAAATGATAAAGCTCACTGTCTGTGTAATACTTGGCATACAATAAGGCCAAAACAATTCTACATGTCCCAAACACGTATAAATAAACTTGTATTCAAATAATGTCATGTAAAGCGAGCAGAATAAGCCTAAGAACTATTTATTAACACCGAGTAGTTGTGGACCTTCGTTGCGGATTAAAATATTTTAGAAAAGAAAACTGGACTAGTGTGTACTACGCTGTAGGTATCGCGAGCGAGTATGCATGTAAAATGCAGGTTTTTTATTTAGTTTTTATATTATGGAAAATATATGTTTATGTTTATGTGTCGATGGTTATATCAATATTCCAGTAAAGAGACGGTGATTTTACGCAATCGATGCGGTAAAACGTGATTAGTACTTTTTGTCAGTTAACTAACTCCCGACTTAAGTCTCTTTGAGGAGTGGCTTATATTACTTATCAGACACGGAAGCTTCGGTAGATAACTGTTTCGGATCCAGGGGCCTCCCCCTGGATCCGAAACGTCCCTAGTGTACGGCGCGTAGCGTTCCGCGCGCGCTTCAATGAGACAATGGACCACCACAGACGGGGCCCTATAGGGCTGATGTTCAGCCGGGGTTGCGGGTTGAGCGCAATGAGTCACCGCGGCCACGGCCTAGAGCAGGAGAAGGAACGGGGGGTTTTTAGTCAGTAAGAGTCTGACACTCTCTCTCTCGCCTAACCCTGGGCGGGAGAAGGTAAATTTTCCCCTGACAAAAAAAAAACGGGGAGGAAACGTCCGGGTCTCGTCCTTATGAGGACACGGTAAAACATAAAGTGGCGGTGTGCCCTGCTTGGGTTGCAATTTTTGTGGGCGTTTCTCCCCGTCGGATCCGAAAAAGGTACCTCTTAAAATTTTCGTGTCCGTCTCTCTAGGCACTCCTCAATGAAACCAATAAAACCTAAGGCCGTTACTTAAGAGAGAAAAGACTATCAGGAACGATTTTTTTCTAAAGAAACAAATGAAGACTCATAAAATACCGTTTTAATAACAAATATAAGTACACATGCACTTGAATTCTTGTGCTGTGGACTTTGCGATAATTTTATTTTTTTATCTTGAAAGAAAAAACAGAAAAGCAAACAGTATAAATATCAAGATTGCTATTTATAGTTGCTCTTAAAAAACTTGCTGTTGCTCGCGAGCGACACGGCGCCTGCGTTTTTTGTTCCATTCAATAATATCCTATTAAAATTATAATCGCGAAAGGTTGTAAGTGTGGATGGGTGTTTGTAACTCTACACGTTACACGTCAAAACTAGGAACTTAATGGATCTGAATGAAATCAAACATTTACTTTTTCGGTCTACTTTTTTTAACTTGGTTCTGCGAATCCACTGGTAGAGAGAGAGAGAGAGCAAGCAAGCAAATTGGATATAATATTTAATTGTTTCTCCTAGCGGTGATTTTTCAATGCTTAGAAAAGTTATCTGGGGAATAATTATGATGCTGTCGCGTCAGAATGTTTGTATAAGACAGTGACAGCAAAAATTTTGAATTAGCGGACAAAAGCTCTACTTACTAGTCACAAAACGACTCTTCACACTTAATCCTTGCCATATTTTAATTGTCCGTCACTAGGAGCGCATAAGATCAACAAAGGTCAGACTGATACCTGATACTAAATACCAATTTCAAAAATAATTCACAATATTAAAAACATCGTTTATTTACATCAAACTTTAATGAAAACATATTGTGTATAATTTTTATTACGTACGTAAACGTTCATTCATATTAATTACAATAATTATATCGTTTAACAAGCCGTTTAGAACAACATCAATCAAATTGATAACAAAAAACGCAAACACGTGGGTGTCCAATTGACTAAACAGACGACTCGTTTAAAGATAAATAGTTCATCTATTTTTTTGCAAGTCTCTCGTAACTGAATCGATCTTACGACGTCATTTTGCAAAGCTATACACGCCACGCTGACCATACACGTTAGCGCAGAACCCAGTTTATATGTTGTACTGAGTACTGTATGGTTTTAGACATTTTTTTTTTCAAAAACAAACCGCTATTGCTTCCGGATACACCAGCATCAGGCGCAAGGTGAGAACGCCGTGGTGTCTCTATAGCCACTCCTTAAAGAGGGGCGGAGGAGGATGCCCGTTTTTTGAGGAGGGGAAATCACCAAATGATTCTCTCGCCTACGGTATGACGAGAGGGATTGTCAGACTCTCAATGACTAAGATTCCCCCGTTCCCACTCCTGGAAACGGCGATGAACAGCTTAAGCAGGATACATTGTCATGGTTTGCTTCACCGTGTCCTGCTCACAATGCACCAAGGCATTTCTTCCTGCCTAATTCAAGACACCATGGCGTCTCTGAAGCCACTCTTCAAAATATTCTAGTTTTAATATTAGTAGGATTATTATTTCGCTTCAGAATCACCTCCATGATTTTATTATTACTGTAGTTTCTATTTATAATTACTTTGTATTTATTATCCTTGTTAACATAACATTTTTATTTCACAGAACAGTGACTACTAAGGAAGGCAATGCGTTCCACACACAGCAGATTTATCAGATGGTGGCTGTGAGCGATGAACGGCGGAAAGAATTGGTAGGTACTTACTTATGTAGACTATTACTGTAGACTCCGCGTCCTAAGGAACAGATTTTTGTGGGGATCCCGCCCCTTTGCTGTCTTCAATGAATTCTCCTGCTCTGGGACAGACGTGAGCCCAACAAGCCCAGTGCCCCTTTTTTGCCTCAAAAGGTAACGTTATGGTGATGTACGTTTTGTAAACATGCCTATAAGTGCCCATTACAGCTGAGCAAAGGCCTTTAGCATTAATCACCACGCTTGTTCAGATTGGCAATTTCAAACTTATAATTAGAAATCCTCACAATGTTTTCGTACACCTTTTAATAAAAAGAAATAAAAACACAACAAAAAATATTTTGTTATAAATGTAATGTTATGGAAAACTTTTGATAAAATAATGGAACACATTTACTTATTTGTTCTCATCTCGCAGATATCCAACGTCACAAGTGCGGTGCTCTCGGTTAGAAAAAACACTACATCACCATGTGCCAATGGTTGGCGGTTCAGCACAGAACAATACCAGGATACCCTCGTCACAGACGTAAGTACATATATATATGAATGCACTTCTAAGGGACCACGGTCTGATAGGACAATGGCATGAAACAATGCTTACGTTGTGTTTCGTCGCGTTATTGATGATAATGATCATGTGAGGTTACCGGATTCCAAATCCTACCCTAGTCTCCATTTCTGTACGTCCATCGAAATATCCTAATCGCCAATCCACAAAACTTCCCATCCCTCAAAGACCGGTTCTACTACAAAAGCAGTTTGATTAACTCCCGTGTATCAGATACCTACCTATCGATTATTGTACATTTTTTCAAGTTTTTGACCATAATATCTAATGCTAGCTTGCTTTAACTTTACCTTGATCGGAATATTTTTTTAAGTAATTGGTTGTTCAACTTGGTGCATACCAAGCAGTGTGCCGAACGTCATACCACGTGTCTGTGATTTGTATTATTGTGTGTTCCAGTTTTCCCTCGTCTGCGACTTGGACTGGCTTCCCAGAATATGCAATACACTCTTCTGGGTCGGATCTATTTTTGGGAATCTCTTCTTTGGATGGATGTCGGATAGGTAATTATTAGTTTTATTATTTAATTTTTATGCTACTATGCTACTGAATGTTTAGCCGTTAATTCCAATCGCGGTAATTCGAGACACAAAAGAAGAACAATACGTGCGATAAAATTCAATAAGGAAAACCAATTGTTTTTTTTTATTTTTGGGAGCCTAATATCAATACTTACTTTCTCTGACCTAGTTTCATATAAAACACAACATATATCTGCGTATACCTAGGCTCAAGACCATGTTGATAATGAGCAGTACTTTTCTTCTTACAGATATGGCCGTCGTCCCACAATTCTTCTGATGGTGTTCCTAGAAGTTCCTCTGGCGATAGCGTCGTCATTTGCCACCTCTTTCTGGACTTACGTAGGCTTGAGAGTCGCCGGTGGCCTGTTCTTCCCAGCTCTGTACCAGCTGCCGTTCATATTGGCACTAGAGTTAATGCCTCCTGGACAGAGGAATCATACTGGTTAGGATTTCTTTTTTCTATTGTAGATAGGATTTTAGTAGAAATATAATTCGGCTTTAGTCGGCTCCCGCTTACCTGCAGGTCGAGAAAAAGTGATGCAAACGGCAGCACTGCGCTAAGATACGATACTTGATATAGCTAAAAAATGATCAAATAATATATTGATTATACTGAATTTTCTAGATATTTCTTCCATACATACGTGTGCTTTATTTTATTTGACAAAAAGAAACGAAAATTTGATGAATAGTCAAAATCAATTTATTTGACTGCTCGGTTGGCGCGGTGTCTGGGCAACTGGCTGCCATGCGACGTGTTGCGGGTTCGATTCCTGCACGGAACAACACTTTGCGTGATCCACAAATTGTTGTTTCGGGTCTGGGTCTCATGTGTATGTGATATTTACTACGTTGATACGTTCCAGGTATCGTGGTGGGCATGCTGTTTGCCAGCGGCATGTGTCTGCTGTCCCTCTTGGCATACGCTGTGCAGGACTGGTACCACCTGTCCTTAGTTACTACCTTACCTTTTATACTCCTTTACGGGTAAGTTAGTCATATAGTTAGTTAGTTATATATTTGTTAATTTTCAAACAAACCATCATCTTTTGTTTTTAATTTATTTGAGTTTAGTCATTCTATCTATCTGTTTCTTGGTAACATTGATAGAAATATTTGGACTCCAACAATTTCGATAAAATTTCGTATTTAAAGTGTTTTGAGACGAAAATCAGAGCTAGGTTTCGTTTTCAGAAAAAAAGATACCAAGCTCGGTCATTCAGGTGTTACTTGTAAATCAATAGTAAAATGTGTAAGCGCATAAAACTTTTAACATGATCTGAACCAATTTTGCTAATTCTTTGTTGGGTTTGTAACAGCAAGGAGAAGAAATTCTTATGAAAAAAAAATGTTTGAAAGTAAAGGACCAATTTCGGATAGCTTCTGCGTTAATAGTTGGATATTTAGATACCTATACATTAAAAGGCGGCCCAGTATTTTCAATAGCATTTTTTATGCCCATACATTAAGCTATAAATTTTTCATTTACAGATATTATTGGCTAATACCAGAATCTCCAAGATGGCTAGTAGGCAGAGGTCGAATAGGCGAAGCTGAGAAAGTCCTCAGGAATCTCGCCAGGAAAAACGGCATTATTTTAGAAAGAGGATTTTTGTTAGAATTACACGTAAGTATACTGATTATTAATTGCCGTTCAGGTTAAAGTACCATATGTACTTTTTAAAATACTTAGTACTGAAAAATACGGTGTTTAAAAACATTGTGAGGAAACATGAACAATATGCCATTTAATATTGTAAGTTTGTTATCAAGTAAGCAAATCAGTTTTGAGCCATCGTGGTTTATTATGCTCAAATATTGTGTGTGTGAGAAATCTTTTTGATCAGCAGTCGGCACCTAATGATGATGATGCTACCGAATAAAATGGGAATGAAGAGAAAAAAGATAATTAATAAATTCATAATGTCGAACGTTATAATTTCCAAATTGTTAATAAAATGTTTGCTTTATTTCTACAGAAAAAAATAAAAGAGGAAGAAGATGAAATGCAAGAAGAACTAGCTATGATATCCAACATGAACGGACATATCGCTGGATACACAGAAGCACCAGGGAAAGACGAAGCTTTAGACAGGAGAATAAGTAATATGCTGACATTCAAACCAGACCTAACAAGAATATCCGAAACAGAAGAAGCCAACAAAAACAATTTAGAAAAGATAATAGCATTAGAAGTAGCAGAAATCGTGAATAAAAAATCGAGATTAAAGAGAGAAGAGAAAGAAGAAGATAAAGAAGCAAACGTTAGTGAAACTACAAATTTGAATGCAGAACATCAGCAGAAAGCTACACAGACTGAATTTTCCAAATCGCCAGCGAGTACTTTAAGAAGAAAGTCTTTGCAGTTAGTAAGTAAAATATTTATACAAGAAGACGTTGAAGATGTAATAGAAAACAAAAGGATGGATGATCAGAACTCGGAAGGAGACTGTAAAGCATCTCCATTGGACGTGTTTCGATACCCAAATATTCGAAAGAAATTCTTCATCCTGACATTTGATTGGGTCGCGCTCGGAGTTGTGTATAACAGTTTGAGTTACAATACTCCTAATTTGGGGGTTAATGACTATTTGGCGTTTTTCATAGGTGAGTTAAAATTATTGTTTTTACTAAAATGCTTTGCTCAGTTGGCTGAAACCTGTTAAAAATTATTTTGGCCATCATTTAGCTTTAGTCGCGTTTTTTTAACTTGAATTGCTATTGCAGGTGGTGCTGTAGAAATTCCATCATACTTCATAGCGTGGCGCTGCATGGAGAGGTTCGGCCGTCGCTGGGTGCTCTGCAGCTTCATGTGTATTGGAGGAGTCGCCTGCATCAGCTGTGTGCTTGTGCCTGAATGTAAGTTGCTCTTTGATGGAATCTTAAACCGTATCCATTTAAGACCTAATTTTAATTTTTAAATTATTGAATTAATTAACAGTTGCTCTCAGCAACTGTTAATTAATTCAATTTTTCTGCCTATTGTTATTTACTTGAATGGAATAGGGCAGCTACCAGTAGTAGACGGACTTGATGGTAAACAATTTAGGCGGCCAATGGATGCTGTAACACCAGAGAAATTACGAGTAGTTTTTGAGGACTAAGAATTTGGGGGCTGTCAAATTAACTTGGTAAACAAATATATAAAATAGAATGATGTTTGTTGCTCTTTCGTGCAAAAACTACTTAACAGACTGGCAGATAGATTATAGTCTGGAATAATATATAGGGTAGGTAGGCAAGATGAAGCTGGCAAAAGCTAATAAGTAATATTACCTAAAACTCCTCTACATTTTTCTAGCGTGGCCTTGGATAACAGTGTCTCTATCGATGTTGGGACGATTATTTGCTGCGTCATCATTTGCTGTATTCTACGTTTTGATTGGAGAGTTACTACCGACGGTGTTGAGAGCTCAAGCTATGGGAGCGGCGTCATTTATATCAGGATTGGGGTTGCTAGCCTGTCCCTATATTGTGCACTTGGTAAGTTTAAACTTTATTACTTCGACACTATATAATAAACAAACAAAATCTTTAGCTTTATAATCTTGTATATAAAATTCTCGTGTCACATTGTTAGTTGCCTTACTCCTCCGAAACTGCTTGACTGATTTTCATAGTATTTTCAGTACGTCTAAGAATCAGCTATTTACCAAAGTGGTAAGGATTGCTCACAGGTAACTTCTTTTGCAAAGTAATTTGTATGGCATAACCGCGTTTGCCGAGTCAGTTAGTAATTGGTATACTTAGATTTAAGAACTACTTTCCTCACAATGTTACAGGCCGTGTACTCCAGAGCCTTGCCATTAACAATAATGGGTGTCCTGAGCGTGATGGGAGGTATCACGTCCCTCTTCCTGCCAGAGACCTTAAACCAGCCGCTTCCACAGACCTTGGGGGACGGAGAGACCTTCGGAAGAAATTTCAAAATATTCAGCTGTGTGGAAAGACCTAGTGAAAAATAAAGTGTCCAAGAATTTGGAACTGTTGGTGCAAAATAATTTAGGTCACAAATTGTAAAATTAAACTTGTTGATGAAGGCACCGCTTCTGTTGTTTTTCTTCGAAAGATTATGGTGACTATGCTGCGATGTACTTTGAACACAATGTTTATAAAAGACACAAAGTGGAATAACTGGGAAGGACGATGCACTTGGAAAATATGAACATTGCAAAATTAATATAGAAACAGTAAAATATGATTTATGCAATAATAAATCTTAAGAGCATATTGATAGAAGCGTAAATGAGTAAACAAGATGTTTAACAGTCACAAAGTTTAATTAAAGTAATTTAAGATACACACAAAGTCTCATAAGATAAGAATATTTGTCACAATACTGTAGAACTTTCAACTTAATGTATTATTTTAAATAATGTGTGTTCGTAGAATCTTAAATGTTTACTAAACTATGAATGTAAGACACGAGTACAAAAGCGAACTATGTAAATAACACAAACTTGTAAATATTAAACTAATTTTATATTATATCCATGTTTTTAACTGTTTCTTTCTCTGCTCTCCTAGTACTTACTAGTCTGCTAATTTTGGATTGACTGACATTGACTCGTGTAATAATAATCATTGCGAGCTGCTAGGTTAGGTAAATATCGAAGCTCATAAGCGTACAAATGTATAACTTGGACATTTTATAACAACAAAATATTATACTTGAATTCTTACGCACTAGCGTTCGAAACGCGTTATAATTTTTATTAAAGAAAATCTCGTGCACTCACTATAAGAGGCTATACTAATACTTGACACAGCGGTGCATCAAATCAGGAGGCATTGAATTTTTTTGCGTAACTGAAACTGAACTGAACTGAAAATGCTTAGAACATTAAGTCTGCCTATGTACCCAATTTGCATGAAGTTCTTATTAAAATAATATATAAATATTTCTTCAAGTCTGGATACTTTTGTATCTGTAGTTTGTTTATGGAGGAGAGGACTCTAACCCAATTCAACGAATTAAACAAAAAACAAAAGAAAATACAACTGCGTTTTAATCAAACTATCTCTATCAAACAAAAATTACAGGAACATAGTCTGCAGTATAACTACAATATAATTGGTAAGGATCCCCATGAGCTGTAGCGGCAGCGTACCGTCGATGTAAAACAGGCCACACGCGCTCATCTTACTGAAGGACACTCGATTCAATTGTACCACATCCTTACATAGATTTCTTTCACAATCTGGAACAAGAGACGACATCTAAACACGAGCTGAAAGTCAGATTACGTGATGGTAAGCAATCTGTGTTGTTCATAACCCGACACTAGAACAGTTACAACTGTCAGCGGTTTGAGGTTAAAGGATTTGGGAATTGCTGGAGATGGAAAATTCGCTGTCTGGTTACCTCACTCACACGGCGAAACACAGCGCTATGGTTGTTAAATGCTAGATTTCTGTGCCCGGAGTCATGAAAGCATTGCTTGCTGCCGCGCAACATTTCGCGGTTCCAATTCCTGCACCGAACAACTCTTTGTGTGATCTACAAATTGTTGTTTTTTGGTCTGAGTGTGATGTATATGTGAAATTGTATGTTTATTTGCACTGACGACACAGGAGAAAATAGTGCAGGGCTTTGAATGTCAGCTAAGTACTTATGGACAAAACTATCTTTAAAAAAAACCAGAAAACATGAGACAAATAAATTAGAAGCTTTGATTTTCGTTTATACCTAATCGTTTAAAGCAAAAGATTACTTAGGCCAGCCCATACACTTTGATTTGGTTACCACCAAATATAATATAGTCCTCTATCATAGAAATCTGTTTAAAATTGAACACTCACCCAAGTAATGTTTATTCTTCAACCGTTGTATGCAGGCGGTTTCTGCTTTTTCTATGGTGATGTAAAACTTCTCACACTGCATGCTCTGTATCATCACTAACATGACGTCTTTTGATAGCCACACAACTGACAATACCAGAGACACTGATAGAATTACGACCCTCTGCAACAAATGCAACAAAAAACATAATACCGATAGGCCGTATTATGGCAGAATGACTTCTCGAAACAACAGGTAGAAGCAGTGCTGGATTAATCATTACGCAGAATAAGTGTAAGCGCCCCTAGACCACCAAAATTAACCTCTTTTTTGGAATTAAGATTAAACATTAATACAGCAAAATAATAACAAAACTCTGCTACGCATCGGCTAAAACTTTCTACCGTCAACAGTATCTCAAAATCTTGTATGTTCATTTTCTATTGCTTGGGGGCCCTGATTGAGTCATTCCGGCCCTGCCTAGAAGGTAACTGCAGATACTCATACTATTGATCGTCCTCAATACTACAAAAGTGCAAATATTTAGATGGCACACTTACTCTGTCAGTTTGCACATTATCCAACATTGTCAGGACTTGCAGCACTAGCGTGAAGTAGAACAAACAACGGAAAAATGTATCGACGGTGTGGAACAGAATCTGTGGATGAGAAAAAAATTAACTTCGGACTATCAGTTATTATTTTAATCAAAGCGAAAATAACTTACCACTAACTGGAAGGTGGCCTTATAGAAGTTATAAGCTTCCAAGATATTTCGATAATCAACAAAAAGTTTTGCAGAAGAAGCATCATCAACATTATCAATCACAAGCTGGATCCATTTCTCAAGATATTTTCTTAACAAGACTATGACCAACAAAGCGTAAACCAAATTTAAATCGAAAGTAATAAACATGAAGTCAAAGAGGGTATCACTAACATTAAATTCATTAAAAGTCACATAGTACAAGTAGTGAAGGCAAATATTCAAGAAAAAAACACCAAACATTGCCACCCAATTACGTCGAGTAATCTTCTTAAGATTATCTTTGAACTCTAAACTCACAAAAACGCTTTGGATTAATAAAATAAGGGAAATGCTCGCATCACTGTGAATAATGTTTAGAAAGAAGAGAATAGTGAAACCGGTGAGGTAGAAAAAGCAAAAGAATAGGTAAAATATTGTGACCAAATCGTTGTTGTAAGTCCCCATAGAATCTCCAAGCTCTTCGAAGAATAACCGCTTCACTGCCATTACGTACAAAATGACCACAAAGAGGAATGTGAATGTGTAATAGACTTTTCCTCTGGGAGTAACGTAATCATCTCTGACTGTATACTTCGATGACAGAAATATTGAGAACATCAAATGCACTGGATACATCATTTTTTGTGTATCCTTTTCCAGTCTATTGTCCAATAAAACTTCTGGCAAAATCTTTATGGATTTTTCTTTTACTTTTCGATTTAGGAGTAACATTTTTATTTCGGCGTGTTCAAGAGCTTTAGTACTACATATGAATAGAATTATCATAAAAATGGAATTCAATTTCGGATCCCATTAGACCGATATTATGCCAGTAATAACAGCAGTTTCCGAATTAAATGTTTCAATTGAATTCTGATTAAGGTTTTCGTTGTGTTTATGATTAGGGAGGCCATGCTACTGTCTATATGGCCAATGATAGAATTTACTAATTGAGTCTTTCAACCCCACTGTGTAGTCAAAAACAACTCGTTTTAAATAATAAATACTAATCTATACTTTAATATTTAAAAAAATGTAAGTTTGTATGTAGGGGGTTATCTTTGGAACCGCTGGTTGGATTGCTAAAATTCTTTTTTATGATAGATAGCTACATTGTTCCCGAGTGCTATAGGCTATAAAACATCACACTACGACCAATCGGAGCTGAGCAGCGGGTGAAACCGCGAGTAGCTAGTGAATAATATTCTTAGCAAAAATCCGTTTAAGAGGTGAAATTATTTTCAAGATAGTTTCTTATTATTTAAGGGTTCAAATAAATGGCTTAAACACCTCAATAATTATAGGTTTTTAAACCGTAAGAGGTGAGTTTTTATGCACACTCTTGTTACTATAATGCAAATAAGAAAGAGACACAACTAGTTTGAATATGTAGGTTTGCCGATACGAGCGCAATAATAGGCCATGGCTCCAGCCCATTACAGGGGATGGAACGGCGTGATTTTGAATCACTAAGAGTCTCATACTCCGTCTCACTCTACGAGAGAGAGAGAGCTGGAAGACGTCATTTGATGATGACTTCCCCCCTAATAAGCAATTGTTTTTCCACTCAATCAACTCAAATTACAAGTTTCAACGAACTGCAATAAATCTATGATAGCTTACCACAAAACAGAACTTGGCTTTTTTCGTTGTATCCTTTTCCAGACAACATGTTATCTGGTATTTTTTCCCTTGATCTTGAACATCATCATCATACTAGCTTCCGCCTACGACTTAGCTCAAGTGCTATGTTGATAAAAATAGCCTATGTGTTAATCCAGGGTATCACCTACCTAGCCGGGGTTGCGGGTTAAGCGGAACGGGGGGTTTTTAGTCAGTAAGAGTCTGACACTCTCTCTCGCTTTACCCTGGCGGGAAAAGTCACTTGATGACTTTGATTTACTTCTGACAAAAAAGGAGTATTACCTATCTACATACCAAATTTTAACCGAATTGATCAAGCCGTTTTTGCGTGAAAGAATAACTAACAAATACCCATACATTCTCACAAATTTTCCCATTTATTATATTATTAGGATATCAGTATACCAATGCCATCCACGATGAATGAATTGAATTATCATTACGGCTTGAGATAGTGAATGTATTGCTATCATTTTATGATAACTTCTACCTACAGTAATAGCTTCTTAATGAATGTATTAAAACAATTGAATATCGATTAATGTTTTCAATGTATTTATTTCTAGATACTCTCACACGGTTTCACCCGCTGCCCGGCTCCTACAGATGGTAACGTGGTGTTTTATGGCTTATAGCCTTCTTCGATAAATGGACTGACGAATATAAAAAGAATGGGCCAGTAGATCCGGAGATTAGCGCGTTCAAACAAACTAACTCTACAACTTTATAATATTATAAAAATATAGGTATAGCAGAATCTCTTTTGTTTCTGGCAGTATCTACATTACATTATTTCGGTGGCATCAAATTGTTGTATCGATTATAGTTACTACCAGCGGCCCGGGTAGGTATATTTTTTTAAGTAGTAATCGTAACCTCAATTAATTGAAAAAAAAGTTTTTCTTACTGTGTCAGTTATGCGACGTCACCGAGACGCGCACTCTTCTCGTGAACATCAGTCCCGTTGTGAGTTGAAACGAGTCGAGCTTTTCTCAATAGAATCTTTAATTATTACATCCATGAATGAAAAACAGTCGAAAAAAAAATAGCAAAAGCATTTATTTAATTTTGTACAAATATACAATAGACAACTACCTGTGACCCAAGGTTTTACTCTAGTATTTTACACTCTACGTATACCAGGCCCCCTAGCCAAGTTGAGGGAATCGATAATCGTTATCGCTTTAGAAACGAAACACATGTATATATGTGAATTAATTCATTGCCCACGTGACCTTCAGAAATATCCATTAATTTGTTCTGTTGCTAAGGCGATAACGATTATCGATACTGATCTAGGCTTGGGGGAGCTGGAAAAGTATAGCTTTGCAACTGCGAAAGAATTTTTCTAACCGGTCAAGTAGTATTGGAGTCTATTCAATCGAAACAAACAAACAATAAAATATTTCGTTTTTGTAATATTAATATGGAAAAACATTCGTTTCTAGCAAATAGCTTCACTAAAAGGACTAACCGATAGACTGACACTTTATATCTTTAAAATTTTGTTTGACGTCAAAAGTGTCTGTAAGGTCTAATTGAAATAAATGATTTTTGACTTTTGACTTTTACTTGTTCTCAAAGTAATAAAAGGTTGGTCGGTTCATTGTTTATAAAAAAGCAAACTGTATTAGAACAATGACATAGTTTGTGACATGTGCAACTACACTGATCGGTAGTAGAGCGCCAACAGAAACGCCTAAAATTGCCATCTTGTTAAACGTCCGTTTCTCCCAAAGCACTTTCTTATACAGCCGTTTTTCATTCTCTGAAAAACAAAACCCACACGTTGTAGCATTGCTTGTAACAATAGGTACTGCTTTCTGCATTATTTCGATCTTTGCGGCCATTCCGTCTAACTTGACTTATACGTATATATGTTTTTGATATGTTTTTTTCAAAAAAGTATCTAACACTGCAGTGTCTTGCTCGTTCTTCTTCATTCGAATTTACACTTTATAACGGGCACTTAACTTCACTGACGAGCAGACTGACAGACTAGTATTCTATTTTGACGTTTCAATAATATACCTATCTATGGTTTAATTGGATTTTTTAGTGTTTGTTCCGTCTCCTGCTCCAAGCCGGTGACGCGGTTCTTTTATTTATTATTGCCCTTCCACCTGTAACTTCCACTAGACATCAACCCAGGGGCCCCAGTCTACTATTTTCAAAGTGTTGTCATTCCAACACGATTCCATTGTCATTTTGCTAACAGTTCGTAATCTGTTAATTCAAAATGGCTGATCATTGGCGTTCGGCGATGTCGTAATAGAATTATAGTACGAGATGTCTTGTAACGAATTATAAACAATAACTGCACATTAATATTCTAAACGTAAATCATTGAATATAAAGGAACAGACTTTTTTTTATTAATTTACCGCATTATGTGAAATATTCATTTGTACGAGATTACCGTTCTAAAGAATTATTTCAATGCACTTCATTGCATTGGAAAGTCATAATGACGCTATCGCGTTAGTTGATTACCAAAGTTGTCAAAATCAACAATTTTGAAACCAATGATCTACTATTCGGACACTATTGTAATAGCAGACTCGAGGCGGAACAACGCGCTCCAATTTATTCCTATGAGTTTATTCTTTAAGACTTACGTGTGCAATTTTTGTTCTTCATAAGTAGTATGCATGTAGTCTCAGCTTTCTCAACAGTCATGTAGAACTTTTCGCTAAAGAAATTTTGTAAAAATACAAGAACAATGTCTTTTAAAAGCCAGATGATTGTAAGAATAATGATGTTCCAAGACACAATCTGAAAAAAGATAGTAATTCTTTTTTGCGAATTTACTTATCACAAGTTATGGCTTACTTTTGAATTCTTCAAAATTTTTTTTTATATTAAGGTAGATTCTACATTATACCTTGTATTCATTTTCACCGGTTTGTATTAAAACTTCGACGTAACACAAAGTGCGTATGAACACATTGATCGCACTGAAGGATACCTGAAAAAAAAACAAAGGCGTCACCCAGGCCCTGACCAAAAATCTATGGATCACACCACACAGCGAACGCAAGAACAAACGACTTATTTATAATCGTTCAAGCTGATATCAAGACCTAATTACACTATTATAACAAAGGATTATAAATCGTATGATAAAACAAAAATAGAGGAAACGTCATAGTTTGCGCAAAAAGAAACTTTATCTTGATCGTTAAAAAACTATTTTTGTTTAGGTTTATTGACTGGTTTTCCTGCTATATACTATTAATAGTTAGATAAAAATTTTAAACCCTAACAATTTATGATGATAATTATGATATAACTTTTGAGCGTGAAAATCAAAATAGTCAAGGAGGAGCTAACTTTCGAAGACTTCATTTAAGGAGACGTGCCGCATTGCGCTACCCTTCCTGTTGTCTCTGGTACTGTGTACGACAGTGCATGGCGCACCATTACGCTAGGTGCCGCATCTCCAAGACGAGGGAAAACCGACCACAGCCATTTTATGACAGCCTGGTTATTAGTGTGTCAAGAGGCAAGGAAAATCAAAACTATCGAAAGCATCAATTCAAATAGCTAGTGATTAAGTTACTGTCAAATTAAACAAAAAGCAACTTACATACACCTGCGATAGAGTCTTATATAAATTGTAAGCTTTCATAATACATTGGTACGATCTAAATAATTCAATGCAAGTATTTCGATCACTATCCTCTACTTCACTAAACAGTTTGACTCTATTAATCCATTCCTCAAGATAATTTGTCAACAATATAATCACTCTGATGGAATAAATATGATTAAAATCGAGAATTGTTATAGAAAAATCAGCAATAAAATCGAAAATATTAAAATACCACAGCAACGCATAGAAATCAGAATAAATAAATACGTTCACAAAGAAAATGGATAAAACTGAAACCCAATTCCAAATAATGTTGATTGTGATTCGTTTTTGTAAGTCTAAATTCTTATGAAGATTTTGAAAAATAATAACAAGAAGTACGTTTTCATTGGAATACACAATGTTCTGAATAAATACAACAATAAAACCTAAGGTATAATATGTATATAAGAAAAAATCAACGAGTAAGAGAATGCCAGTATCATCAAAAATGAGTTGCTTAACTTTACTTAAGGCGAATCTGTAGAAGGTGATAGAAATAAAGAAGATGACAGCGAGAGCTGTGACGATACAGACTCGTTTTCCGTTGGCGGTGATACAGTTATCAATGATCAAGAATTTTGGAGACAAGAATATGAATAGAAGAAAGTGAAAAGGATAGAATAATTGTCGTATTGGTTTTTCTAAATGAAATTTTAACGGCGCCTCTACTGAAGATGATAGCATCATCAATGATATACGTGTAGTACATGAAAATGGTAAAACTTCGATTATAAGCACTAAGCGAATGCGCTTAAGGAAAAAAAGCAATTTCATTTACTTTAGAGATTAAGGCGACGCTTCTACTTTATTTGATACGTTTCTAGAATTTGATGAATGCTTTAATACATTACTCAATGTACAAATTAATAAATAATGTGACGCCAATAATATTATTGGCATACATTTTTTGAGCAGTAACAACATGGTGATCATACCAATTACATCATTAGTGCTAATTTATTGTCTGTAACAGAAGATGTATTTACTGAACAGTAGGCACATATAAGCCGATGACGTTAATATAACTTTATTTATATTAAATCTTTATTTTTTCAATCTATATTTAAATAATTTTACGAAATAAATTCAGAAATAACTTTAAAGTAGTAATTCTTAGGCATAGATCCAAACCAAAATGTTCGTTACTGAAAATTTTAGAATCATGAAATTTTTGCCAACATTCACAAAAACAAAATCCGACCATAAGAACAATTCAAGTAACATGCACGGTATTAGCAAAAAACAAATTGTACACATTAGAAACACATAAATTTTTCAATTCCACTAATGTAACAAGACACGTCAGAGTAGATACGATCAGAATATTAATAGTTGAAAGTATCGCCGTTAATATGGAAGTAGACACAGCACTACATTTTAACCCGCATAACAACGAAGATGACGAAAATGATAGGAAAACGTAAAACTTTACCGAAACCCAACTTCCAACTCCTCAATAATAAACTAGAAAAAGAAATTCAAGGACTAGTGTACTCCTTTAACTTTGCTCTTAAAATATTCTGTGCTTCAAAGTACAGTGTACGCAACAATCGGCTGTATCCTAGAGGAAACAAGTATCAGTTTTTTGCATTCTGTTTCACGGTGTTCATGGGTTTCATATGCACGTACAGGATGTTCACTATAGATATTACTGATCCAAATATGTCTGAATCTGAGAATGACACGGTTAACCTCCTCAGTGTTCTTTATTACTTCCTCTATACCATTGGCTTTACTCTAATGTTCATTCTCGACTCTATACATAAACAGGATAATGTGTTCTTCTTCATTGAAATCCAAGCTATTCATCTGAGCGTAGACTTCAGCAAAAATATGCGCAGTTACATCATTTTTAACTGGATTTATCTATTCATGATTATGTTCATTGATATCTACATGTATGGTAGTTTTTTCATCTTGTATGAAAATTCAACTTGGCTAGAAACTCTTAGTGACTTCTTTTGTGATGCTGCGTTCATTATTTTTGATGTTAATTACGTAATTAGTATTCGAATTATAATTCTGTTAAAAGCATACCTCGATCAATGGATACGAGAAATTTCGATAAAGGATGAGCAAGAAAATGAGGGGCGTTATCTAAAATTATTTGGATCATACCAACATATTTTAAAAGCTTACAATTTATACAAGAAAATTTATAGAGTATTGGTAACTATTCATATTTTCCCTTATACATTTCATTATCATAGGTTAGTAATAAAATATGATTTTTATTTCAAATTTTATTTGTTTCAGGTATTAAGTCATGTAGTAAATACATTTATCCGCAGTTTAATGTCTTTGTACATTGTGCTCTTCACGTCAAAACGATTCACATTATCTGGTGGTGGTGTAAGTATTGTAAAATTATTTCTTTTAAAATACTTCATATTATCAAAAGTGTGGAAGAGCCATGCTTTGGCACGAATGGGTCGGCCCGATCTGAATGATACTACGCCCTCATACGAAACCAGCGTGAAACGATCACAGCGTTGTGTTGCACCATCGGAGTGAGGTTACCGGCCTAGTCTTTCGTCTCCTCTCATCCCTCCCTAACACTAAATCTCCAAAAGGCCGGCAACGCACTCGTATCTTTTCTGGAGTTGCGAGTGTTCATAGGCGGCACTGATTGCTTACCATCAGGTCATCCGTCTGCTCGTTTGCTGTCCTATTAAGTAAAACAAAAGAATCTTCTGATGCTACAAGACATTCATCATGAACAAATGCTCTGACAGAATGTCAAACAGCAATCCATAACTAGAAACCAACCGATATTCATATAGATGTTATTGATGGCTTACTAAATATAAAATTGTGTCTAGGCACACATCACACAATGACTAGACAGAAGATTAGAGAGAGGTAATTATTGAACGTGCAGCCAAAAAAAAGTCAAAAGTCAAAAATCATTTATTCCAATTAGACCTTTACAGGCACTTTTGAACGTCAAACAAAAATTTTGAAGCTATATTGTCAGTCTGTCGGTCAGTCCTCTTAGTGAAGCTATTTGCTCGTTCCAAAGTGTAGATTCCGATGGAGAAGAACGAGCAAGAAACTCCATGGTTACTCTTTTTAAATCACCGCATTCACCTAATTTCAGGCTTCACCGTTTTATATAATTGGTTCGCTTTTCTGGGTAACAAAGAACGCGATCCTGGTGATAATACATGCAATCAGCTGCGAAACATTCTACATTACTGTCGAAGAAGCTAGGTCAGCGTGTATACAACTTTTGAAGAATGGTAACTATAATAGTAGGTATTGTCTAAACACAGCAAGCAAATACTTGGAAAGTATTGGCAGAATTGATATTTTTTGGTAATTTTAAACACGTTTTCTTCTTTCAGAGAGTCAAGAGTGGCTGTATAAGAGCGTGAAGCAAATAAATCGCACGTTTAGTAAGATGAGCGCATGTGGGCTGTTCTGCGTGGACGCGGCTCTCGTCCTGTGCCTAACCGGCGTCATTACCAATTACGCTGTAGTTATGTTGCAGTTTACCTTCTTATAATATCTTCCTTATAACAACTATCGTACAAACAAGCTAGAAGATCTCATTCACCTTCATCCTGGAAAGATTGGCTGTAAATATTGTAAAATATATTTTATAATTTTTTATCATTGACTGAGAAATAAATTTATGGAATATCTTAAAAATCTGTGTCTTACTCATAACAATGTAATATTAAATAATGTTATATTATTCAACATACCTATGACCGTGTCTATGATATTTTCATGGCTCTATTAATGTGGTGTCGTTATAAGCCTAAACTGTTAATTGAGCCTCAGCCTGTCTAAAAGATGTATAAGAAAAATCGAGTATTAGTGTTTAGAGTTTACTAGGTTTTTGTATTTTTTTAATTCTTTACCCTAATTACCCTAGTACCCTAATTAGAATCTTTTTAACCTGAATGGGCTGGCGGGCTTGACTAAAATGGCACAAAGGTCCCACAGAATGAAAGCAACCCATGTGTAAAACAACCCCCATCTCCAATCTTTAAATCCCCTACAATCTACAAAAAAGCGGGCAACGTGGTTGTAACCTTTTTCATATTGTGGATGTCCATGGGTGTTGCTGGTTGTTTTCCACGTGATAATTCGTCTACTGGTTTACCGATGTATCCCATTACAAAATTGAAGTGCGACAGTGACACCAATTCCTATAATGATGACTATTCAAATTCGATATGAGAACATCCATCTAATCTTCCTAATGTTGTGCTTAGTCACAATTGATACGGAACAAATACATCGTTGTAAAACGCATTAAAGTAATTATATTTCAAAAAAATTACCAGTCCACTACATATCTACCATTGAAGATGATAGCAATGTTTCAAAAACGTAAAACAGTGACAAAATCCTCATATGACATCTTACTCAATAATAAATTAGACAAAGAAATTCAGAGTGTGGCCCATTCCTTGAATTTGCCCCTTCACTTGTTTTTCGCTTCAAAGTATTCTATTATAAACAGTTACATTTATCCAAGAGGTACCTTGTATCACATCATTGCTTTCTTTATCACGATTGCATTCAATGTGCTGATTTTCTACAGAATGATCACATTCGAAATGACTGATATGAAAATGTCGTATTTCGAAAATATCCTGATCAGATTCTTTTCCACAATTTATTTCATGATCTACGTTATAAGCTGTAATATGACGTTTATTCTTGATACCGTTTATAAATACGACAACGTTTCTCTCATTTTAAAGTTACAGAATATTAATAGGAGCATCGAAATCAGTAATTGTGTTATTCGGGACTATATTATTTGGAACTGGATCTCATTGATTGCTATTATTTCCATCAACATCTACATAAGCGCTACTTTTTACTATTTGTACTTAAATGTTAGTTTCGTAAAAATAATTATACAGATTCCTATTGATTATATGTTTATCGTATTTGATGTAAATTATGTAATTTGTATAAGAATCATTGTCCTGTTAAAAAAGTATTTGGACGAATGGGCTACGAAAGTACACAGAATGAAAGAACGACGGGAAAACGATGAGGAGCAGTGTCTCAAGTTATTTGCATTGTACCAAAATATTTTTGAGGTCTACGATCTGTATAAGGATATTTTTGAAATATTGGTAAGTACATCATTTGTTTCTCTCAGCAAAAGAATATTAAGCATCCACACAGACCACAATAATATTGCTATCAATTAAGTCTATTAGGTCTATTAATAATGGAAAATCGTGTCATATTCAAATGTTGGAGAGTCATGCTGCGACGCAAAAAGAGTTATAATTCTTTCCATACGCACCCCCTTCTTCTCCTCCTCAATTACTAAATAAGTGCCGAATCCACAAATTCCCAACCATCCACAAATACCGAAAATCCTACAAAAGCCTAGAAACGCACTTATCCGTCCAGAGGTGGCGCTGATTGCTTACCATCAGGTAATTGGTGTGCTCACACAATAATATGTGAGGTCACAATATTATTGCATTTAAAATGACACCTTCGTACCTACCTATATTAGGCCTATTAATAATGGCCCATATTCAAATGTGGGTGAACCATGCTTTGAGACAAATAGTCATAATCCCTCCCCCTTCCTCTTCTCCAATAACTAAATACTGAATCAACATACGTCCAACAATCCTCAAATACATACAAAGCACTAAATCCTCCTTTAGTGTTGCCTCCACGTACGGCTCTGATTGCTTTCCATCACCATTCGTATACTCGTCGCGGACTTTAACCCAAATAATTCAAGAGAATTGGATAGTTTCTTTGGTCAAAAATAAATTAATTCGTCGTTTTAATACAATAAAATAACCATACTTTTATTCATCGATCGATCCATACTCTAAGTTTCAGTTTTTTTTAGGTAATTATTAAAAAATAAGTAAGCTATTTGACGCAAAAATACTATGACGTCATAACTCAGTTTTTCATACAAATTTCATAGAAAAGTATCGTTTTTGACGTTTGGATAAAAGTATTGAATTTGACTAGTTCGACACTACCGTATTGTCAAAATCTGAAACCATTGAGTATACAAAAACCGTTCTGTAAAACCACTATTGTTTTTTAATGTTTTATTATCTTAGCGGCTTTTTTAAACAGATCCACATTGTTTTGCAGACATTTAGTCACGTTGTGGACAAATTCGTTCGAACATTGCTGTCTCTCTACATCATCATTTTTAAAGTTAAAAAGTATTTAATATCGGGCAGCCAGGTAAGATTATGAACAATTTTGAATTTTTTGGAACACATTTAGATCTATTCCAAATCTGTGTACGAAGAAAGCAAACGGAGTAACAATTAAAAAAAAACAGAGTAACCATGGAGTTTCCTGCTCGTTCTTCTCCATCGCAATCTACACTTTGGAACGAGCAAATAACTTCACTAAGAAGACTGATCGACAGACTGACACTTTTTATAGCTTTTTTGGACGTTCGTAAAAGTGCCTGTACATGCAAGAATCTTACTCAATGACAATCCGCAGTTTTACTTCTATGTATGTCAAAGTACGTAATGATGATGAACAATACAATATGTGTTACTTATAATATTTTATATTTCAGACCTCCGCCTTATTTTATGCGTGTGCATCTATATGGCTTTCAAAAGTTGGATTGCTAACAATTATCCACGTAATATACAGTGAAAAGTTCTACAAAGCGGTCGGCGAAGCTGAATCGGCTTGCATACAACTCATGAAGAATAGAAACTATTCACGTGAGATCTTTCATTTCCTATCTTCTTTATATATATAATTCTGCTGTACTCTGCTGTGTCATTGTACTCCTTCTAAACGGCTTAACCGATTGAATTCTTTTTTTTCTGTATGCGATAGTGTGGCGCCCTGGATGGTTTAGATTATCAAATCAACCCGGCAGATGGCGCTGATTGCTTGAAAAAGCATGTGATCTTGGAAACGGCCCTAAAGATTTCGCTTAAATTTGATATGTGGGTGGTTGGTTGGTCTGGTTTCGAGGAAGGTCCGCTAGTAATAATATAAGTAAATTAGTTTGTACTAACTCTACATGTGGGAGGAAATCTAATGTATTTTTAGTAGTTTTTTAAAGATAGATACTAATTTGGAGTTCCTAGCCTGTGACTTATTGCTCGGTAAGTGTGGCAGAGCCGAGTTTCGGCACGAATGTGTCGGCTCGATCGGAGTGATACCAAAGTCTCACAGAATACCGACGTGAAACAACCATAGAGTTGTGTGGAGGCCCAATCCTTCCACTCCCTCGATCCCTCCCAATCAGTAGTCAGTCGGTCAGCAGTAAAAGGCTCATGATATCATAATGTGGTTTTTTTATTTCCAGAAGGTCAAGAGCGGCTGTTTGAGAATGTGAATCACATGAACCGCACGTTCAGTAAGATGAACTCATGCGGACTGTTCTGTGTCGACGCGACCCTCATACTGTGCCTCATGGGAGCCATTACTGACTACGCTGTTGTCCTACTGCAGTTTACCTTCCTGTAGTTGTAATATAAATAAAAGACCTTATATCTTAGATACTTGACTTTAATATCACAGAACACAGTCGGGCAGCTCACTGCACCAGAGTTACATTGTCAATGGCCGACACTCTCTCGGCCACCTTATTTATAGTAAAGGATGACAATGAAATTGACAGTTCTAGTGTGACAATGATTAGTATGACTAATTAGAAATGATACAACAGTAGTATCTTCGAAATTAAAAGTTGGTTCTGTTTTGTAAAAAAAATGTTTTTGATATTTAATCTCACACAGTCCATTCAAAATAATGTTCAGGCCAGTCCCTTGGCTTGCCATGGTGTTAACTGATACATAATGTATACATTTGGTGTCCGTAGTATTTATAAATAAAATAAGTAATATAAATAAAATAAATAATATAACAAAAATAAACAAATAAATAAAATAAACAAAATATGTATTATGTCTATATGGAAAACTGTAATAACACAATTGTGTAAGTGGTAGTAAATCTGATCAGGTCCAAGGGAAGTCTGGCGTCGACTGTGAACACGCCACACGCATTCAGTTTCTTGAAACGCGCTCTCTGAATGCGCTCAATGTTTTTGCAAACTCTCCTCTGCGTGTCTGAGGGAAAGAAGAGGAGATTATTAACTAGCAACCCGTGCTGCTTCAAACGGGTGATCCTCGCTAAAGGCGACAGTGTCTACTTTTCTACTTTTTCTTTCATTAGAACCGTCTCCTAACAGTAAAAATATGAAAAGGAGCGTTGCTTCGGATTGTAACAACATTGTATATTTTTTGTTATTTATACTATGTATTATTTTTTCACATATTTATTAAAATTACTCAAAAAATGTACAGAAACTGTAACAATTTATGAACTGCATGTATATTTCTATTTCTACAGCCTTTGAGGAATTAAAGCCAGTTGAATGATAAGCAGAAACAGTATGTAAGTACCTGAACGTCCATGTCTCTTCGTGAGCATTACAAAAGAACCGTGAACGTCTTCAATAGCTTCATAAAATCTCTCGCAAACAATACTCAAATATGCAATCAGAGCAATATTCTTCAAGAACCAAACTTGAATTATAAATATGAATATTGAGACCTGTCAAAAGTAATTTTTGATTTACAGTTCTTATGAACGATGAAAGAAAGATTAGAAATGTTGGAAACCCCAGTCACTCACCCGAATGCCTGCGCCGGCCATCGCTAATTTCATCTTAATAACAACGCCTATGTTCATAAGACCATGAGATACTGCAAATAATGTGAAGAACAAAACCTAAAATAAAAATTAATTATCCACTAAAAATTATCAATGAAAAGATATAATAAGTTTTGAAAGAAGATGTAATGAAAATAATGAAATAAATAAAGAACAGGAAATGGCAGATGAAGTCAAATATCTTACCAGATATCCAAATGTCTTCACAACAATCTCATACACTTCAAATATATTCATGTAAACATCAAACATACTTTTCCAATAACAATCCTTGTAAGAATTAATAGATTTACGTACATTTTCAGTCCAAACACAGAGTGTCATGGACAACAATTTCATAATGAAAGTGAAATAAAGCATATTAATGTCAAAAGACATGCTGAAGTAAAAATACGCTATATCAGAAAAGTTAACATGGGGATAGAAAATAACGAAGACGACCAAGATGGAAATAAAAATAACAGCATTAATAATAATAACACTCAACGTGTTAAAAATAGTCATTCTTCTAAGATCACTGGAGCCAATATTGAGACCCCTGATCACGTGCTGAATTTTTATCACCATGAGAATATTGCTGTCACAGAATTTAATATTGATGTAGTAATTTAAGAGGAATCCAAAAGTATAGCTGGAAAAGTCAAATAATCCGCTCCAATTAAGGAAAACTTTGAAATTCTTCCAGTCCCCCATAAGTATGAGCAAATTGTACAAATTGATAGAACGGCATATAAGGAAACCGAAAACGCTAATGAAATCGTACATGAAACTGTTTGAAGTAATGAAATTGTCTTTAATTGTGTACTTGGAACATATTAACAATGTTTGCATGAAATGGAGCGGCTTGAAAGCAGATTGTAAGTCTGTTTCAATGAAGTTGTCTAGTAAAACTTCTCTGTGAAGTATTTTTGGACACTTATCTTTCATTTTTCCAATGGACTGTTTGTTATCTAATGGAGAAATGTTGACTAAACTTTATTTGCTTTGACGTAAGTTTTTCATTTGAATATTGTTGTATTACAAGTTTTATTTGAATGCAGTTTTTCATAGTTTTTTTATGTCAAATTAGGTGTTGAGTCAATTAAAAATGAATTAGGTACGGTCATTTTGCGTATTAGTTAGGTAGAGTGTACGGTATGACATCATGTTGTCTGCATATTATATTTGCATTAATACAATATCAATAAAGCTTCTGTGCCTAATATTCGCGCGAAAAATATTGAAATTATCAGAAACCAGTACGAATATCGGTTGCTGTTTAGCGGGATTTACCTTTTTTATTTGTATTTGCTTAACATATGTCAGTCTGCTAGTAGTCACCGTGTTAGGTGTAACCCTGCCGAAACGTCAAGCAAAAATAAATGTATGTGCGCGTTAGATCCTATTAAACAGTAAAGTATGAATATGCAACGCAAAAGTTTATATCTCTTTCCTTTTCATATTTTCCTGTTCATAAGGCCCTTCAAGAAAAATTGGCGTGTGGCTGGGTACGGCGAAAGAAAGTGTCAGACTCTTACTGACTAAAAACTCCCGCGTTCCTTCTCCTGTTCCAGGCCGAGGCCGCGGTACCTTATTGCGCTTGACCTCCGACCTCGGCTAAGCAGAAGTCCAGTCCAGCTCCATCTGTGATGGTCTGTTGGCTTTTTGAGACATAATACCCACCCCTGGTGGTTCATGGGGCGTTACTTGGACCCTTTATTATATGGGCATAGCCAAGCACCTGACGATGAATAATTGCAAATTTAGGAAAATGTTTTAACAGAATTCAACCAGAAATTGTTTTAACCCGACATCAATGTGTAAACTAGACTTTTTTTTACTAGCCTGTATTTTCCCACTGCTGGGCAAAGGGCTCCCCATATCGCTTCCACACCTCCCGATCCTTCGATCCTTCGACCGTGTCCACTAGTCTTGACGATAGGCGTCTAGATCGTCACGCCATCTTTTCCGGGGCCTACCCCGCCTGCGGCCTCCATCCTGAGGTGGCTGGGTGACAATAGATATTAATAAAATTAAAAAAATACATAATTTTTGTACTATATCTATGTTTATAAATACTAATTTACTTTACAAATACAAATTTGTTTTTGAGTCCAAAGTTCAATAAATATTTTTTCTGCTTTATAACTTATTACATTCGGATAAGATAAAAAAATGTATTCTTAACATGATTCTGATATATTGATAATTAATGTTCATAGAAACGTGGATCTTATCTACTTCATATTCAATAATAATAATGATATTGCAGAATTAAGAACATTGACCATTGTACCAAAAGCACGTGTAACTAAAATAAGAATAGAATGAAACCTTTTTAACGCTTTTTCAGGCCTATAGATACAATTTACCAGACTAACTATAATTTTAATTTTTTAATGGGTAGTAACAGCCTTTTGCTTCTTCCCGGCTGAACATCATCACTAATGTGGGGTACACTATAATCGTTTGATGGCTAATGGTTATCCACGATCCTAATTGATATAAGTTTAGGTTAGGTTGTATCCTTGACGACTAGGGCGTGTGGAAGATCGTTGATTCGTTCAATGGGCCTCTAACTGGATGAGATGGAAGAGACGGCTTTCCAGTTCCTCTCGCCTTGTACAATGTCCTGAACTAAGGCCAGGCCTTAGCCACCTCAAATTTAGCGACATAGATACCACAATCCCTAGTCAAGAGTAATCACTGCAGTAACATCTGCAGTGACGTCACTTTCTATAATTATACACGTGGTTAAAATTTTCCATATTTTTTTTATCTAATCAATAACAACAAAAAACAAATAGTACTGTTTTGATACAGCAAAATGTTGCAATATCAACAGTTTTTAATTTAAGTTAGTTTTTTTGTCTTTTTATCAGGAATAAGTAGGAGTATTCTGCTTCTTTCATCCCACATGAATGAAAAAGAAAAACATAATAATAATAATATCACTAAAGACAAGTCATCACACAATCGCCAAAATCAAATGATAATTAGTAAATATTGATATAAAATCAGATTATCTATACTACTTACTATATAAATTGACACCAGTCCTCAAAGGTACTGAGTGTCGACATATAGACGATGGTGGTAGTGAAAGTAAACGAGGGCTTGCTGGAGGGAGAGGTGGTAAAGAACGAGTATGGCGGCACCTACTACAGCTTTAAGGGTATCCCGTATGCACAACCTCCACTCGGTGACCTGAGATTCAAGGTATGTGATTACCAGGCTGTGAATAATAATAAAAAAGTACATCTGACCACGAAGAGCTTTGTAGTATTTTTTCTCACAGTCTTGAGGTATTGGGGTTGCAATGAAGACTGATATCCGTTCATGATATACGTACAATTTTATAAGCATAATAGCATCGCATTTCGTTTCACAGGCCCCTCAGCCACCAAAGCAATGGAAAAACGTCCGCAGTGCAAAACAATTCGGTTCGAAATGCTACCATCACGACGTGTTCTTTGAAAAAGGAAAAGTTTTTGGTAGTGAAGACTGTCTCTATCTCAACGTGTATACTCCTAACATCAAACCTGACAAGCCTTTACCAGTCATGTTCTGGATTCATGGAGGAGGTTTCATGTCTGGTGCTGGTGATGACGACGTATACGGCCCCAAATTTCTCGTAAGACAAGATGTTATTCTTGTCACGATCAACTACCGGCTTGAAGTACTTGGTTTCCTATGTTTAGACACTGAAGATGTACCAGGAAATGCCGGTTTGAAAGACCAGGTAGCAGCCCTCAGGTGGATTAACAAGAATATTGCTAGCTTCGGCGGTGACCCTGACAATGTTACTATATTCGGCGAGAGCGCTGGTGGGGCCTGTGTCACCTATCACTTGATATCGCCGATGACCAAGGGATTGTTCCGGAGAGCTATAGCTCAAAGTGGAACCAATGTTGCATACTGGACTCGAGCATACAAACCTCGTGAAAGAGCCTTTGCGTTAGCAAGGAAATTAGGATTCTATTCTGATGATCCCAAGCAGGTATACGAATTCTTAAAAGAACAACCTGTTGAGGCTCTTATAAAAGCTATTGTACCGATAACATATTCAGAGAAAGGAAGAACCAATATTGAGGTATATTTTAGTGTGGCTGATGAAAAACAGTTTGGAAACAACGAACGTTTCTTCCACGCAGATATACTTGAATCTGAATCGTATGGTCTTCACGAAGGAGTGGAGATCATGACAGGATACACCGCGGATGAGGGTATAATGAGCTTAGCTGTTTTTGGAGATGTTTCTGTAAGTTTAGAACAAGCTAGAAACTTTCCACAGTTTTTCATTTCATACCCAATGTCTCTTACATTATCAACTTATAATCAGCTGGAGCTTGGGAAGCGAATTAGAGAATACTATTTCAAGGATCCCATTTCGATACCAGACGATTGGGAGAAGTTGGTAAAATTCTATGCGGCGGACTTGTTCATGTTTCCTGCACACAGATGGACTAAAATGTGTGCTCGATCTAAGAAGAACAAGATATATTTGTACAAGTTCACTTGCGTATCAGAATTGAATGTAATATGTCAGATGATGGGCGTAGGAGATTTTATTAAGGATAAGTCAGTAGTAGGTCATGGAGATGACTTATTTTATTTATTTACGCCAAACACAATGCCAATAATCGACAAAAATTCGAAAACTTTCCAACATGTCGAAAAGGTCACGAAACTTTGGACAAACTTTGCTAAATATGGGTGAGTATCTTTTGTTTTAACACCATTGTTTCAAATAATATCAGAGATAAACAACACTACTGCGATTAACTCTGAAGAATGTGTTAAGTAAAAGATGCCAAATCCTCGTCCAATCCGAAATTTGGTGTAACTAGTCTGTCTTTGGGCGGGCACCGTGTCCTTGCCATTAGGTGATCCATGCTCGTGTGCTGTCCGATCCTGTAGTAAAGATAGCCCATTTGTGCTGAAGTATCACTCATAAATTTAAACCATGTTCTCAATATTTCAGAAATCCCACACCAGACGGTTCATTGGGCGTTACTTGGACCCCGTATTCCTTGGCCAACAAGGAATACCTAGACATTGGTAATGAACTTAAACCTGGCCAAGCACCGGACGATGAGGAAGTACAATTTTGGGAAAACGTTTTAACAGAATTCAAACAGAAATTGTATTGATCCGACATTTTTATGTAACCTCACATTAATAAAATTAAAAAGAATTGACATTATTTTTGTGCTATATCTATAGCATATATGTTTTTGAGTCCGGACTTCAGTTAAAATATTTTTTGTTTATCCAGACCAATCTGTCGATTCATGATATCCCATTAATGATATATTTGTAAATGTTTACATATTTTTTTCGACGTGTGGAACACGAATGATTATAATTATGTTCATATCATTAAATAGAATGATTAATGTATTGAGTTTAATGTGTTTTATTTATAATAATATAAAATAGGTGTATATCTATCGATTAAATATTATATCATTGGTTTAAAAGCTTGTTTGAAACATGTTCAAGGCTAAAAAAATTACCAACTTACGCATTTTAGACATAAAAAGTCGTACAAATGTGACCTTCCACTATGTGGTCGATAAGGACGTGCAGTCCATGTTGCGTCCCTTCACCGTGATGCAATATGTCATGTGCTGTCCGAGATACCGCATCAAAGACAACTTCATCACTCCCAACACCACAACCATTAAGTGTATTTCAATGCTCGTTACATCAGCATTCATTTTATCCCACGTCTACCGCATGCGTTGGATGTACTTCTATAGCGATTTTGTAGGCAATACTAGATTCACGTACTTCTGTACTAACTATGATTGGATTTCCTCTTCTTTAAGGCTAATTATCGTTTATATCATCGCAACTGTTCGAACCAACAACAATGTCAGTTTTGTCTTAAAATTTCAAAGAGTTCACAGATTTCTTAATGATAACACCAGCTTTAGGAGTTACTGCATCTGGAATTGGATTATCCTCTTCTCGGGTTTATTCATCTACATATTTTTTTATAGTTTATTTCTGTTAGTAACTGGGTTATCCATCTTGAATGCGTACAGTTGCTTTTTTCTAACGTTCTTTGATTGTAATATCATTTACTTTACTCGAGTGATGAAAGCATTGCAAGACAAAGTACTTCTGTGGAATATTTGCGCCTTGAACTACTACAGGACGGGGCACGCACGCGACGAGGAGTACAGCAAGCAAATGTTTCAAGCTTATGTTAATATTTTAGAGAGTTACAACATTCATAAAGTAACTTTTTGGATATTTGTAAGTCATTCACAAAGATGTTTAAACCACTATACAATACATATTTAGAAGAGATTCTTTATCAAGGTAGGTCCAACTGCGGTGGTCACTCGAATAACCAAACTCCGTAGGATTCATCTGGTTATTCCATTCCTCCCTTTGGACTGCCGAAGTTTTACGTGAAATTTTGTCACCGAAAATCTCGCAGTGCTGGAAGAAGGGTATGTTGCCATAGATGACATACGGTACCAAGAGTCCCTTTCTTCTAGTCTCTTAGAGAGTCTTAAGTCGCCCAGCGATGCAGAGAGCTATCCTCGAAATTCATAGTGTCAAAATTCAATTGTGGATATTCTCTAAAGAAAACTAGTTACCAACATGCAACATAGCTTTTCAAATCTAAAAGCTGAGATGACATCGCTCGAAGGAGTGACAGCCGATTGCCCAAAAACGTTTTCGAGTGGCAACCATGGACCGAAATCTGTAGCTTGGGCAGACACAATTCGTGAGGATCATCTCAGCTATTAAAACATTATTTTTATTTTATTTTCAGCTTTTGTATCAGATGGTCGAAATATTTGTTCATTGTTTAATAAAGTTTCAAACAAGCATTGAGACGTTTAAAAAGAGTATAAATATCGGAAACATGGTGAGTATTATAATGTAGTGTATGTAATTTTTTCTTGTTTGCTTTGAGTTGACTCCGAACGTTGCTGTGAAAGCTGATATGAAAAGAATTTCATAGGTTTCTTTTACTTTAAGCATATGGCAATGCCCATGGACATCCGCAATACCAGAAAAAGCGCGAGCGCGTTTCTGACCTTGAAAGGAGTAGGAAATTGAGGATTTAGGAATATGTCCTACAGCAACATTATTTACACAACTTAACACTACGCAAACATTGTTTCACGGCGTTCATGTGAGGCCGTGGTAACCCTCTGATCGAGTTAGTGCTGTGTGTGTACGTTAGAGCCAAATGATGCGCTAAAATGTGAAAAAGTACCGATTCAATATGGATAAAGCTGGTTTAAATACAAATACAAATTTTGCCACAATCTTTGATAACAAAATTAATTTTTCCAAAACAACAAAATTAAAGAAGAATATGTAATCACAAACCTATTTTTTCAGCAAACTGCAGTACTTGTTTCGTGTTTGATATATATATGGCTGTCAAAATACATTTTCTATTTCGGTTTAATGACATTACAATGTGAGAAGTTCTACATAGTTCTTAAACAGCTGCAAGACAATTGTACACTCATTTTGATGTCGGGATGCGCAGGTATACATTAATTATGTAGATAGTGCACTGTATCATGCGAAGCGATTTAAGGATATTTGAGTTTTGAAGACCACATCTTCAACAAAAAATAACTTGCTAGTATATAATAATGATAAGATATATGTAGGAAACTTAACTTTACCTTACTTACGGTTGGCAAATAAGTTCACAGATTATCTGGTGGTAAGTAATCTTTTGGGGATAAGAGTTTCGGAGAATCTGGGATTGGGAAGGGAAGGGATGGGGAAGGAAAAGGATTGGGAATCTGGTAACTTCACTAACATGGTGAAACACGCTGTTTTTCTGTGAGACCATGGTATTACTCTCGCCGATCGAGCCGGCTCATTTGTGCCAAAGCATAGCTCTCCCTCACTCATTTTAATTCTACGATACGTAATACTCAGAAAATTTTTACCATATGACCTAATTACTCGAACTCTTTTTTTACTTTACAGATACTGAAAGAAAGCTCTACAAGAACGTGCTGCGCCTGCACCGCGCGTCGTTCAGCAAGATCCGTGTGTGCAGCCTGTTCTACGTGGACGCCGCGCTGCAGCTGAGTCTCATGAGCCAACTCACTAACTACATAGTAGTGTTGCTACAGTTTGCTATACTGTAACACGTGTAGTGTTTTATGTATTGCAGTATTATTGCAAGTATTATAAACCAATACATCATCATCAGCCAAAAAGTACCCACTGCTAAGCATAGACCTCTTCTCACATGGAGAATTTATAGTATCGTGAGTTATCTTTAATATATATCAGTATCAAGGATCAATTCTATGAGTATTGGTCTTAACTTTAAAAAAATACTAATTTTAAATTTCCCTATTAAGGAAATCCTTAATAAAACTAAATCGTACAAAATTAGTTATGAATATAATTATATTAAATTTCATATTTCCCTGACATAAGAATTTGTTTTAATCAATCCCATTACATTAAAACGCGCTCATAAGGAAAGTGGTATACAAACAGGGGCGGATCAACGAATGAGCTTTTTGGGGCTTAACCCAGGGTAGTCCCGTGCACCCACGAGGCGCACAACCACCGTTAAAAAGAAAAGATACCTACATATATTATAAAAAATTAACTAAAATAACGATTAGAAAATTAAATTCCTAAAAGAGACAAACCTTGAAGAAACGAGCGTACTCCTTAAAAGGCCAGCAACGTGCCAGTGACTCCTCTGGTGCTCCCATGGGCAGCGCTGATTACTTACTCAGGTGATCCGTCTGCTCGAATTCCATAAAAAATATAAAATAATGAAAAATAAATTTTATATTTTTTTACATTGTTAATAAAAAATACAATGCGCTTGTGTACGCAACAAGTAATAATTGTATCATTCAAAGACTTTATATATAACATAAATTGGGTAATTTTTCTGGGCCCTAAATTTTGTAAGACCGGGGCCCCAAAATTCACAATCCGCCCATACATCAAATCAGGAAATACTTAATAATATCTTTATAACAAGCACATGGGAACTATGATTGATAAATATTCCAATGTTTATCAATTATTCACTTACCATTGTCGTAATGAAAACTATGTTTGGACTGTTGAAAATGAACAACTTCCGTGGTTTCAATAAAAAATCTAAGGCTACCGTTACCTTCCACAATGTAATCGATAAGGACGTGCAGTCTATGCTGCAGCCCTTCACCGTGATGCAGTTCATCCTATTCTGCCCAAGATACCGCATCAAAGACAACTTCATCACTCCCAACACCACAGCCATTAAATTTTTTTCCATGCTCGTTACCTTAGCATTCGTCTTGTCAAACATGCATCGTACTTTTTCTTTATATTTCTATAAAAATTTCATTGAAAACACTACTTTCGTGTACATCGCCTCTTACTACGATTGCATCTGTTCTTGTCTAAGAGGAATTGTAATTTTCACTACCACTACTATTCAATCCGAAATCAACATTAACTTTGTTCTAACGTTTCAAAAAGTTCACCGAGTCCTCAATGAAGAGAACAGCTTCAGGCGCTTTATCACCTGGAACAGGACAATTGTATTCTTCTCATTGTTAAACTTTCTCATCGGGTTCAGTAGCTCTATCTCGATGGCTGGTTTGTCCCACGCCAGAATGTTGAGTTGCTACTTTCTAATTGTTTTCGACGTAAACGTTGTTTATTTCTTTCGAATATTGGTGGTATTGGAAGACAAAGTGCTTCTGTGGAACATTCGCGCCTTCAACTACCACAACACGCAGCACGCACGAGACGAGGAGTTCAGCAAGCAAATGTTTCAAGCTTATGTCAATATTATAAAAAGTTACAATATACATAAAGCATGTTTTTCGATATTTGTAAGTTTTTCAATAGATTGTCATTTATAACCAAGTCTCAATTTATAGATCTTTGGTCAAATTCATTTTTTTTTACAGCTCTTGTACTACATATTTGAAGAATTCACCCACGGACTGGTGTATACTCAAGTAGCAATTGAGACACTAAAAAGAAGTATTTTGGTTGGAGACGTCGTAAGTATTAATTATTAGTTCTTCTAATTATACCAAAATATGTGGTTGCTTAGGGCATGAGGATACAATCTCGATAAAGGCTTGAAATAACTTATCAGATAACACTTTCTAAGTAATGGTTCTTTTCATACATGCCATTAACAATATGACGACTGCACGGTTAGCGCGGTGGCTGGGCAACTGGGTGCCGGCAACGTGTCGAGGGGTCGATTCCCGCACGGAACAATTCTTTGTGTGTTCCACAAATTGTTGTGCCGGGTCTGGGTGTGATGTGTGTGTGAAATTATATGTTTGCAAACGCAGTCACGACACAGGAGGAAATCCTAGATTGGGGAAACGATAAAAAAAATATGGATAATGAAAAAAATTGAGATCTATAGCCATGCAAACGCATTAAATAAAAATCTTTTATTTTTAGCATACAGCAATAGCTGTGCCAACAGCAATGTTAATTTGGGGTTTAACAAAATTGTTCTGGCATACGATAGTGACAGTGCGTTGTGAAAAGTTTTACATAGCTCTTCAAAACCTAGAAGACAATTGTTCACTAATTTTAATGTTGAATATTCCAGGTAATGAAAATAAAATATTGTTTCTATATTTTAGTTCGGCATTGGTCCTACTGTGTCTACGGCACATAATAGTGATTTTATCAATTCCACAATATTGTTAACGCATCTCGTTTTTAGTTTATTTGAAGTATAAATATACAGACACATCGTCTGATGGTAAGCAAACACCACTGCCCAAGGACACCTAACTTAAGAGGGTTTTCTAGTAATATCAATTTAAGCTTTCCACCGGTTCGTGGTCCGTGCACTTGTCATACAATTTTCGGCCTAATAGGGGTTAAAGATTTGAGAATTTGACGATTACAAATGAACGGGAAGAGATTTGGGCTGATGTAATCAAAAATCAGTGCATACGTTGTTTCACCACCGGTCTTCCTTAAGGCAGTGGTGTACTTCAGTCGAGCCAGTTCATTCATGCCAAAGCATGGCTAGAAATATGAAGCACAATTGAAATTCAAAAGTGTTAACATTATTATAATTTTAAGATAATCTTTCTTCTTTTTTGAATCTCTCTGAAAACTTTTCTGCTACTTACAGATGACGAGAAAATTATCTACAAGAACGTGTTACGTTTGCATCGTACATCATTCAGTAAGATACGTGTCTGCAACTTGTTTTCCGTCGATGCTGCGTTGCAGTTTTACATCATGAGCCAAGTCGTTAACTACTTAGCAGTGTTGCTGCAGTTTGATTTTCTCTGAAATATGACATAAAGTTATTTGCCGTATTTTGTTTCTGAGGGTTAGACTACGTTGTGTTCATCGTTGCTCTCATTTCTTGGAGATATTATAACAATTTCTTTTCACCAATTATGACTCGAGCTAGTTTCACAATTTAGTGTAAGTGTTTTTGGGTTTTGACTTAAAACCACCCCGTTCTTTTTCCAGCTCCGGGCTGGGGCTGTGGCACATTGCTGCATTTGTATTCAACTCCAGCCTATAGTTAGTTGCTAAAATACTAGCGTGAAGTCAATGATATTATAAGTAAAAAAGTGTAGATAGGTTACGTAAACAAAATTCGATTTTCAAAAACGGCACACTAATGCACACAAGAATAAATCGTATGCTACATGTTAAAGTGGGATGGCATGATTCAATACTCGCGAGTGAAACAGAGACAAATATGAAAAAATGTGGCTATTTAGCCACATTTTAATGTATCACTTGCTGAGCGCTTGTAACCTATCTACACCCTTTTTACTTATAATATCATTGCCCACTAAAGGGGTAATAGCAAAATTGATAACAATCGCATTAAGTTATAGCTCCCATTTAAGACCTTGAGTTTATCGAAATACTTGGTAATTGTTCAGTCCACGATGTCTTGTTCCAAGCCATCTAATTTCCACACACTTGATACTTTACATAAAAGACATTAGTCATTAGATGATGTGTGGTTTTAATATTTACCCAAATGACGTAACAGACCATTTTAATTTATCGATAAGTAATGTTTGACAGAAATAAACTTTGGTACCTAAATAAAAATTCGTTAATCATTTTTTAATCATTTACTAATCCGTGTTCTAGTCTAGCTAGCTCTATACCATGTTAAAGTTGTTAAATATAAGAAACTATTGTGACAGCGTTATTAAAGGTTCTACAAATGTAAATATCCAAAATACTGTCGATAAGGACGTGCAGTCCATGCTGCGTCCCTTTACCGTGATGCAATACGTCATGTGCTGCCCGAGATACCGCATCAAAGACAACTTCATCGCTCCCAACAGCACAACCATTAAGTGTATTTCAATGTTCGTTACATTAGCATTTACCTGGTCAATTGTTCATCGTACCAAAACCTTGTATTTTTACCAAAATTTTGTGCAAATATCTGATTTTTCAAATTTCGCCACTTATTACGATTGCATCTTTCCCATTTCTAGGCTCGTTATCGTTTTCATTATTGCAACCATTCAGACTGAAAGAAACATTAAGTTCGTGTTGACTTTTCAAAAAGTTCATAGATTCCTCAATGACAAGACTAGTTTTAATAATTTCACCACTTGGAACTGGATAGTTGTTTTCGGAACACTCTCTGCCAATATCATCATGAACACTTTTTTGTTCGTCCAAGCTGGACAATCTATCGTCAAAGTGTACAGTTGTTATTTTCTTATATTTTTTGACTGCAATATTATCTATTTCACTCGAATGATACAACTTTTGGAAGACAAGGTATTTCTGTGGAACAGTTGCACCTCGAACTTCCACAGAACCATGCATGTACATGACGAGGAGTTCAGCAAGCAAATGTTTCAGGCTTATGTCCATATTTTAGAGAGTTACAATATACATAAAGCATCCTTTTTCGTAGTCAATTTGATACATATGTTTTTATATACATGAGTTTTCGTATGGCATAGGTTAGCAAACGAGCATTCGGATATAGGGATGTCTGATGTCAAGCAATCACCGCCGCCCAAGGACACTCGCAATATCAAAAGTTTTACTATTTGTGCATTGCCAGCCTCTTTTTGGTTATTATGGATATTTAAGGATGAGGGATTTGAGGATTAAGGACAGGACGAGTGATTTGAGGATACAGGTAGGAGGGAGAATTGGGCCCTGGTAATCTCATTCATACGGCGAAATACAACGTAAGTGTTGCTTAACGCCGGTGTTCTGTGAGGCCGCGGTGTCCATTCGGCCAAGCCGGCCCATTTGTCCTGAAGCATGGCTTTCCCACGCCTGTTGTCCCAAACTTGAAATGCTTGTAACAAATAATTGAAGACAAAAAAGTTAATTATAATTCAATTAAGAAAAGTTTTATCTTTATTTTTAAAAATTTCAGATATTCTACTACTTCTTTGAAATATTTTCTCACTCGCTACTGTATAGCCAAGTTATAATTGAAATGATGAAAAATATGACGATAGATAAATTGGTAAAAAGTCATTTTATTTTCTTTTCGTCACCATGAAATAAAAGGATAATATTTTGCAAATTATATTATATTGCATCTGGTTACAGGACGATGCAATAGCACTATCGATACTGATATTTATGTGGCAGTCGAAAGATTTGTTATGGCAGACTATAGTAACCAAACAATGCGAGAAATTCTATTTAGCACTACAACGTCTACAAGATACGTGCTCGCTTATATTAATGTCAAGTTGTTCAGGTAAAAGAAAATTATACAAATTCTATTTATTTATTTTCTTTTTATTGAAGACCATATAAAAATACACAGGAAACTCAAGATTATAACATGTACAGTAGTAGTAGTACATATTGTACATAATGAACGACTTTATCGCTAAATGCGATTTCTTAAAGACATTGTTTGGATGGAGCAAGTGAAATAGGAAAAGGGAAATAGGGTCGTCAATGATAATGATCTATGAGTGATTATGCAGAATTCTATATTTTCGTAATTTTTAAAAACACATGGCAGTATTTAAAATCGTAAATGGCCAAACAGACGGCAATAAATATAAAAGATAATAATATAAACGTAAGGAGGCAAAAAGAAAATTAAAAATGTAGTGTCAAAGGAATCACCCTCATTAGAATATCAGGCGACGCATAAAACTTTTTTTATCTTCACAAGAATAATTATTTCATTATTTTATTTAACAGATACTGAAAGAAAGCTGTACAAGAACGTGCTGCGCCTGCACCGCGCGTCGTTCAGCAAGATCCGTGTGTGCAGCCTGTTCTACGTGGACGCCGCGCTGCAGCTGAGTCTCATGAGCCAACTCACTAACTACATAATAGTGTTGCTACAGTTTGCTATACTGTAACACTTCTTAGTCCTCACACTCTTGGCAGAATGGTCATAGCTGTCGATGAATGATTTGCGACATACCGTCGTCCTTCATTTCAAGAGCAGCACGTTGAGCGATGTCTCTCCACCTTTGTCCAATTCTATAATACAGCTGTATGCAAGCATTAAGTATCCAATGTAACTTAAATCTTAGCTCTACCTCCTCCGAGGAGAAAGAGACAGACGTATTTATAGATGTGTGACATATAGGTGAATTTATAGTAGAAATCTCGAATCGTTCATTTAGCATTTTCTTTCTGCAGTTGTTAATGAATATTATTATTATGATTGATAGTAACAGTAAGCCAGTTAAGAATCATGTTTAAAAAAATAAAGATTTTATAATTTACAACATTCGTTTTATGATTTGACGTATTATTTTATTACCAAAGGAAAAAAATGAAAATAACTTTAGAGGAAATATTGGAAAAGTTCGCAAAGGGTCATTTGTTACCGAAGGTTCTTAGCACTAATTAAAAAACCGGCCAAGTGCGAGTCGGACTCGCACACCGAGGGTTCCGTACAAACCTGCAGAAATGGGTAGTAAGTTTAAAATTATTAAAAAAATATATATTATGTGATGTAACTAAAAATTTATGGTTTTCGTAATTTTTCCTTTATCTATGCTATAAGACGTTGCTTCGTACCAAATTTCAAGATTCTGAGTTCACGGGAAGCACCCTGTAGGTTTTGATTCCCTTGCAAGTGTCGAAAATTTGCGGCATAAACGGCTGTATCTTTTGATTGCGTTGGCTTAGAAGTTTGATTTTTTCACAGCTTCAAGGGACAGTAGACCTGAGTAATTGATATAAATTTCAGCTGCATACCTCCACGCGTTCTTGAGAAAAAGGGTCTTGACAGACGGACGGACGGACGGACAGACGGACAACAAAGTGACCCTATAAGGGTTCCGTTTTTTTTTCATTTGAGGTACGGAACCCTAAAAAAAATAGAATATGACGTTATTGCACAGTTCTATCTATTGGTCGCATGACACTATTATCATGCCATTTTACGATGAATGTGAAGTTTTTTTGTGAAGAAGTTCGTAATTTTCCTTTAATCTTGGAAAAGGTTAATAGGTAACTAAGTAATAACACCCAACAGAATAAATACTACTAGTTTAAGTAATGACAATTATCGATAGCTTTTACTGTATAAGTAAGAAAATTAATGTGTGTATTTAGTTTAAGTACGATTAAGTAATACTGCCGTGCAAACACACACACAAAAGTTGTGTCGTCAACAAAATGAATTTAAAAAAAGTTAGCCGGATAAATAATTTTGTGGAAAACGATGTGCAATCTGTGTTCCTGCCTTTCAATATTATGCAGTATATAATGTTCAGTCCCCGATACTGTATTAAGAGAAAGTTTATCTCTCCGAATAGCATCATTATCAAACTCTTCTCCATGTTTGCGACGCTTGTCTTCATATTTTCAATTGTCCACCGAAACATTGAAGTCCCTCTGTATAAAGAGCTAGATGGCAGTGAACTCCATACAATCGTCGTTTATTACGACTGTATGTTCTCTTGCTCCAGATTTATCATCATTTTCGTCGTCACCGTTATCCAAACTAATAACAACATTAATTTCGTTTTAAGTTTTCAAAAAGTTCACAAATTTCTCAACGACATTGTGTCTTTCAAACGTTTCATTGCTTGGAATTGGATTATTGTGATTACCATTTTATGTTTCATGGTATTGTATTTGACAATGTTTTACGTATATTTAGAACTTTCTTTCTTATCTGCGTACACTTGGTATTTTTTCATCTTCTTCGATATAAACATTTTGTACTATATGAGGACGTTGAAGCTGTTGGAGGATAAAATTGTTCTGTGGAATATTCAAGCTTTGCGTGGACAAGAACGCGCGTCTCTAAACGATAAGCAACTGGTTAAAGCCTACGTCGATATACTAGATACTTACAACATCAATAGCAAAACTTTTCAGATATTCGTAAGTAACATTTTTATTATTATTGCTTCCCGCAATATTGAGTGCGGTTAAATGCGGGTTCGGAACCTGACAAGTACCAATGCGACTTTTTCCGAGTTATGTATATGTACTTTTTAAGATTGTTTAGATACCACTGACATACCTACAGCAAAGGAAAACATTGTAAGGAAATCTGGACTTATAATTTCAAATTATAAGTTTGCAATCACCAATCCGCCTGAAGCAACTTATAGGCTGTTGATCTACCTTTACTAAGTACTATCAGAAAATGACCGAAAACAAACAATCTGTTCAAGATTAAAAAGAAATTAGTAACCGTAGTTATTAAGCTAGAAAGAGCCGTCCTTAGAGCAAAATTCCGACATGAAACAATATTTACATAGTGCTTCATAGTCAGAGTGACTTTATTGTGAGCTAATGCTTTCCCAATCCCCAAGTCTCAAACAGTCTCAAACAGTCAAAATCAGTGACATCCAGATCAATTGTAGAGTGAATGAGGAATGCCACTAACAGGAAAAAGTGGAGAGAAATGGCAAAGGCAACCAAGACAAAGCCAAACAGACCAAGGACATACCGTGACCACGACCACTCTGACAAGAGTCTACGATTGAAACGAGAACGAGGAGTCTCAAACCCCTGACAACCCCCCTAACGGACGACCACGTACTTTTAATTATTTTTGTGTTGAATGTATCTTATGTCTATGCGTAGCGCTGATTGTTTATCATCTGGGGATCCGTATACTCATTTACCATTTAATTTTTATATGTAACCTTAAAAATACTTTACAGTACCTCTACTTCGTCACGGAACTGTTTACACACGCACTCGTATACATTCAAGCTTCAACCGAAATTGTGAAAAGAAACTTATTTAAAAATTATGTAAGTATTCTTTTATTTATTCTGTTATAGTCATTAAAATTAGAAGCGATAAAAAACTGCTTTCTACGCTACATTTTTTTTACATGCAGTAACCAATGAGTGAATCGATCCTGACGACCGATTTGAAAAATTAAACATTCAGCAACGTAAAACGTATTTGTAAAGTAGTCTTAAAACGCTGAACCTCTTTATTGATAGGCCGATTCAATTGGAGATAACTCCTTTAAAATGTAGATAATTATATTACTGCGTCGTTGCATTTCGTGCCGTGCAGACTATCTGTTTTGTACATTGACTATGCGTACGGCGCGTAGCGTTCCGCGCGCGCCTCAAAGAGCCAATAGACCACCACAGACGGGGCCCTAAAGGGCTGATGTTCAGCCGGGGTTGCGGGGTAAGCGCAATTAGGCACCGCGACCTCGGCCCAGAGCAGGAGAAGGAACAGGGGGGTTTTTAGTCAGTAAGAGTCTGACACTCCCTCCCGCCGTGATTTATCGCATGCTGTCAAATGTATGAATTTGGAGCGTTCTGTCACGACATGCCACACAGTGTCTCTAACCGTAGATTATTAGTACATTTGAGGAACGAAATTTGACTGCACGGCTGCCGTGCAATGTTTCACGGGTTCGATTCCCGCACGGAACAACTGTTTGTGTGATTCACAAAATGTTGTTCCTGGTCTGGGTGTCATGTGTATGTGAAACTGTATGTTTGTAACCGCACCCGCGACACATGGGGCAACGTTTTTTGCCAGACTCTTACTGACTAAAAATAACCCCGTTTCGTCTCCTGCTCAAGGTCGAGGCTGTAGTACCTTGCGCTGGACCCGCTACCCCGACTACCGTAGAATGAATTAGTTTCTAAGCTAACCTCATAGTTCCTTTTCATAACTTATAATTTATTATATTATACAGGATAAAGCAACAGTTATAACATTATCGGTATGTTTCTGGTTTGGCAAAGATTTGGTTTCGCAAACAATAGTGACGCGACAATGTGAAAAATTATACCTGGCCTTTCAAACTGTGCACGACAGCTGCACACACATTTTATGTTCCAATTGTTCAGGTAAGTGATTAGTTTAAATACCTAATTATAATAAGATGTCCCATCACATTTAGATTAAAACTGTTCAACGGGCCTCTGCGAGTTGGCTTCGGCTCGAACGCCTTACAAAGGTCCGGAACCCTAGGTTCCCGTGAATGGAAAGAACAAACAAATTCTTTTACTGAAAGTCTTTTTCTAGTTCTACTGTGATCAAAAAGTCAAAGTCAAAAATCATTTATTCAAATTAGACCCTTACAGGCAATTTTGAACATCAAACAAATTTTTTAAAATACAAAGTGTCAGTCTGTCCTTCATTCCTCTTAGTGAAGCTATTTGCTCGTTCCAAAGTGTAGATTCCGATGGAGAAGAACGAGCAAGAAACTCCATAGTTACTTTTTTTTTTAATCAGTTTCACATACAGATTCCTTTTACAAACAGTTGGTTCAATTATGTGAGAACAGTGTAACACTAATATTTATTCAAATATAAAAAGAAAGTAACCTTAAGGAGTCAGTCTGGAGCTGACCAGTCCCCACTGAGGATGCCTGTTCACGAACATGACACGTACACCAGCATCGCCCAACTCAACCATATTATAGGGAATTAAGCGATCCAGCGACCGTGTCACCGCCAGTGTGACCTTTCAGTGAGCATGACAACTTCAAGCTGTTATAAGGACCGACATTCTGCTGGTCTAACCAATTGTAATAGGTTAGAGTTTGTTAATTTTTGAGAAATTCAAAGTCAATGCAGAAAGACAGACGCCAGAAGGTCAACCTTTTACAATTAATACAAACAAATCTTTTTAATTCGTTATTCGCCTTATTTATATCAATACTACTCTGTCAAGAAAGTACCGGGAAAAAGTCAATAATACACAAAATGTTTGTTATTCATCTAAATTTATTTTATCACCTTCAAAGTATGGTTCTTCAGAAACGATACACTTACGCCAACGAATAATCCAATCATCGAAACTTTTTTTAAACGCTGTTTCCGGAATTGAGTTCAGTGCTCGCCGCGAATTCTCCTTTATGTCTTCTAACGATTGAAAACGGGTGCCACGAAGGGGTAATTTGAGTGTGGGAAAAAGAAAGAAGTCGGCTGGAGCCATATCTGGTGAATATGGTGGCTGCTCAATGGTGTTTGTTAAGTGTTTGGACAAAAAATCGTTTACAATGATGGCCTTGTGCGAAGGCGCATTATCGTGATGCAAAATCCAAGAATTTTCTTTCCACATTTCTGGCCTTTTTCGTCGAATTTGTTCTCTTAAACGCCGCATAACGCTCAAATAATATTCTTTATTTACCGTTTGACCTTCGGGCAAGAATTCTGAGTGCACAACACCGCGATAGTCAAAGAAAACAGTCAACATGACTTTGACTTTTGATCGACTTTGACGTGGTTTTTTCGGTTTTGGTGTAGTTGGAAGGCGCCATTCCGAAGCTTGTTGACTAGTTTGCATGTCAATCTCGTAAACCCACGTCTCGTCACCAGTAACAATGCGTTTCATGAATGTTGGGTCGGTATTGACTCGTTCTAGCATGTCCTCAGCGACTTTCATGCGATTTAGTTTTTGAAGAAAATTCAGGTCTTTTGGGACTAGCCGAGCGGCAACACGTTTCATACCCAAATTATTTGTTAAAATGGTCCGGATCGACTCGTGAGATACAGAAAGTTCGGCGGCCATCTCTCTCAAACTTGAATGAGGATTTTCAGTCACTGTTTCCTTCACTTTTGCGATGTTAACTTCAGTTGAAGACGTTGATGGCCTACCAGAACGAGGCAAATCTTCCATCACATCTCGACCGCTTTTGAACGCTTTGTACCACTCATAAGCACGTGTTTTTGATAAAGTCGATTCACCGTAAGCCTTCTGTAACATTTTGAGTGCCTCCGAACACGAAATTTAATTGGCATTGCAAAATTTAAGACAAACTCTTTGTTCGATGTTTTTGTCCAATATGAAATTCGCAATACACACACGATATTATAAAACTAAAAACAGCACTGTTTTTAATACATATAAATAACAGATGCAACTCAAATTCCGCGCCAAAATGGAAAACAGTTATGCCAATCTAACAACAACAAAAAAAATTAAAATTCGAATTTGGAACCATAAAAAAAACATTCATTCCCGATACTTTGTTGACTGATACAATAAAATTAGGTAAGTGAGGCAGAGCCTTACTTCAACGCAATGAAACGGCTCTGCCAATGTTAAACCGCGGTCTAACAGAATGCTGGCGTGAAACAACACTTATATATGTTGAGTTTCGAAGTGAGAGTGAGGTTACCTGACTCCCAATCCTCCGCTCCTATCCTCAATCCCCAAATCCCCAATAACCCTACAAAGGGCCGGCAACACACTTGTTTGTAACTCTTATGGTATTACGATTGTCTATAGGCGGCGCCGATTCATGACCATGAGAAGATTTCTCCAATTTTCTCCAATTAGTTTAAGTGTGGGAGAGCCATGCTCCGGCACGAATGGGTCGGCTCGACCGGAGTGATACCACGGCCTCACAGAAAACCGGCGTGAAATAACCACAGCGTTGTGTTTCGCTGTGTGAGTGAGGTTACAGGACACCCAATTCCCCTCCCCCAATCCCTCCTCAATCCCTAAATCTCCAAATCCCTAATTCCTAAAAGGTCAGCAACGCACTCTTAACTCCTCCGTTGCGAGTGTCCAAGGGCGGCGCTGATTGCTTACCATAAGGTAATCCGTCATCTCGTTTGTCGACCTATTACGTAAAAAAAATGAAAAGAAAAATACGAATATGAGAGAAAGAACAAGGGTGGCCTGCGGACTTCTGTACCTATCTACTTTTGCACACGTATCTATATTACTGTTCTTCTGGCATATGTTACAGAAGACGAAAGAAAGCTCTACAAGAACGTGCTGCGCCTGCACCGCGCGTCATTTAGCAAGATCCGTGTGTGCAGCCTGTTCTACGTGGACGCCGCGCTGCAGCTGAGTCTCATGAGCCAACTCACTAACTATATAGTGGTGTTGCTACAGTTTGCTATACTGTAGCACACATGTTATAAATATGTATGTAATTTTCATAAAATAATAATTCAATCCCTTTTTTTTATTGTTGGAAAAAGAGCAGACAGATTGTCCTATGGTAAGCAATCGACACGGGCGTCGTCCTTGAATACTAACACCTAAGGAGTTACAAACGCATTGCTGGTGTTTCACTGGTCGATTTAAGAATAAGGGATTTGGTGATTAAAGTTTAAGGGAAGGACTAGGCCTAAGCATAAACCTAACTAACCTTACTCATACGATGGACAATAGTTTTATTGGGACGAGCCCGCCGCAACATCCCAAAACCGCTGCAACTCCTGTAAGCCAGGATCTACAGTAACTATGAAAACACCGGAACACTGAAGTACGGCGCGTCCCAGGGACATGAATGACTGTCCTGGATCCCGCAACGAAATAAATCAGAATATATTATTTGAGGAGAAGAAATAATAGAAAAACGTAGACAATAAAGTAAGTAATCTTTAACGCCAATATTCTGTGAGACCGTATCACTCCGGTCGAGCCACCAATTTGAGCTGAAGCATGGCTCTCCCACAGTTCTGATTTGTTTGCCATAAACAGTAGATTAACTTATTATTTTGTTAAGGAAATCTCATTGTTCGTTTTAACTTCTCCTCTTATCTTCTGATTTATTTCGTTGCGGGATCCAAGACAGTCATTCATGTCTCTGGAACGCGCTGCACTTCAGTCTAGATCCTAGCTTACAGAAGTAGCAGTGGTTTTGGGAAGATTTGGTAGGCTTGTCTCAATAAAAAAAAGATACCTCATTATTATTATTTTCTACTTGACATTTTGTATAACATTTCCTTGAAATTCAAAACTATCCCAAAATAGCATCGTCATACATACTATTAATAACTACCCCTGTCATTTGTATTTCGTAGATCTCTTCACATGTATAGGAACGTGAAAGGTCAGTAGTTATTTTCCATTATTACTTAATAGTAAAAATTGTTGATTGGTTGCTAGCGTGATGGAGTATTGATATGCATTTAGTACAGGTGCGATCGATCAATGTTACTTGTGTTTAGATTAAACATCCTAGCTAATGTTATAAATGCGAAATGTGGATGGATAGACGTATGGTTGCTAAGTATGGTTACTGGTTGAGCCATATTTTGGCAGTTATGGGTTGTCGGTCAGTTACTGGTGTGATGCGACCGTAAAAGGACGCATGACCCTTTTTCCCCTACCCAATCCCTAATCTTCAAAAGGCCGGCAACGCACTCGAAATTCCTCTGTATTTCTATTTATGTTTGTTATTGTCGGGAGAAGGTTGTCATATATAGAAAATATTAGAAAAGTAGAGGGGAAGGTTGGGAAAAAGTGACCCTTTGATAGCGAGATAGTTAAATCATCAACTGACTTCTCCCGCCCAGGGCCGGGCGGGAGGGAGTGAGTATCAGACTCTTACTGACTAAAAACCCCCCTGCTCCTTCTCCTGCTCTGGGCCGAGGTCGCGGTGCCTCACTGCGCTTAATACAGCATAATGTAATCTCATTAACATTTATATTAATATGTATAATACTTCTTTATAAAAATATAGGTATCAACATGAATGTGTTTATTGAACATTGTAATAATGTAAATCGTTTACATTCTAGTAGTCCAGTCACTTTTGTGCTAATCGACCGACGATTAGTAATAAATTAAAAGTTGAAAGTGCTAAAGTCGGTTTTAGTATTGAACTCAATCGATATGTCGTCCTACATACAGAATAAAAGTAATTTAAGTAAAAGCATTGACATACTTATAGATAATACAGCAAAAGATACCTTAAAAAAATTGTACAGTGAAGAAAACGATATTCCCGAAAACCAAAATCTGGGTATCTTTAAGTCAAGAGTGTACTACAATAGGTTACTTCTAGGTAAGCGCGCTCCATCGTCGACCGCATCGTCGCTTTCCATCAGGTGAGATAGCGGTCAAGCGGGAACCTATAATCAATAAAAAAAAAATAAAAAAAAACATCTTGTGGATACTTAATTGGTGGTAACAACACCGAGATTATAAATATTATGCAAAATGTGTTTTTCTGCTCTGAAAACAGAAAGGGCCGCGTCATCAAACCCAGTCAGTTCTACATTATCATGTCCGTTATTGTGAGGTCATGACGACCTCGAGGTTACGGCGCCCGCTTTTCAAGCATGGGGTGTGAGTTCGAAACCTGGCAAGTACGAATGTGATTTATTCCAAGTTATATGTACTTTCTATGATAATTTAGACGCCACTGACATACGGTGAAGGTAAACATCGTGAGGAAATCTGGACTTATAATTTCTAATTATAAGTTTGAAATCGCTAACCCGCATTGAGTAAGCGTGGTGGTTAATGATCAAATCTTCTCCGTGTGAGAAGAGGCATTCGCTCAGCAGTGGGCAATTATAGGCTGATGATGTGAATCGAAATTGGCTACATAAAAATCTGGTACTCGCATTATTTTTTTACTGAATGAAAGCACAACAAAATGACAATGAAAAACATGAGTGGATACTACTTAGACAAATGAATGAGCATGATAAATTAATGAACATAGTAATTCGAATTTCAAACAATATGTTAATGTTCTACAATGTATCAAGGTTGCTTCTACAAGTACACATATTTCTATTGACAGTCACATGTAAAATGTCGTCGTATGAACGAACTTCAAGTAATAGAATTAATGCTTTAGTAGATCATACGAGACGTAAGCCATTTCATATCTTTAGTAAAGATGAAAATAATATTCTTTGTCAACATATTGTGGAACCCTACTTGGAGTCAATATTGAGACCATTAAATATTATACAAAATATATTTTTCTGCGCTAAGTACAGAATCAGGGGGCATGTCATCAAGCCCATCAGTCGGTTGTACAGCGCCGTGTCTGGTATTTTCTATTTATTATTTAACGCCTACCTCTACTACATGTTCTTTGAAACGCAAAACGAGGACAACTTCGAGCATTTTGTTATGAACGTTTACGACTATGTGCTGTTCTCCATCGGAGGCTTCGTGAACTTCTTTATCAACATTCAACAGAAGTACAACAACGTGCTCTACGTCTTAAAGATCCAGAACGTGCACAAGATCCTCAAATTGGACGAGACTTGTTTCAAACGTTCCATTATATACAGCTGGGTCTGTGTGATCGCTATAAACTGTTTCCATGTCTGCTGGACGTTAATTTACTATTTTTGTTTCAATGACATTGATATACTCAACACATTGGCTGCGTATGCGAACATTCGCTTCGACGTGAACTTGATTTACGCCACGTGGTGCTTGAGGCTAATGACTGAGTCTCTCAAATTTTGGACGTATGGTCTGCAGAATTCTGCTTACACCAATGATGCACTGGATAACAAGCACTGGTACAACACCATGTTTGGGTGCTACGTAGATATTACTGAAAATTTCCAAATAGTTGAGAAGACTTTCCAGCATGTGGTAAGTTTTCTCCACGTTAAAAATTTGCGCCTAAAATAAAGGATTGGTTTTATCTCGGAATGTTATTTCAGGTATTTTTTTATTTAGTACATACATGTTCGACCTCTTTGCTAGACATATGGGTTCGTGTCGAAATGAGGCCAACAGTACCTCATAAAGAACTTCAGGTAACTGCAATAAGTTTTTTTTTGGAATTTAGTATTTTTTGATTTACTTACTATTTTTTTTTATTTCAGTACACCTTCCTAACTTTTTCATCGCTTACATGGGTCATAAAGAATCTCCTAATAATAACATTTCTGTGCGTGGAGAGTGAGAAGTACTACTCGGGAATCAAACGAGTTGAGAACGCATGCTCACAGATGACTACTTCAGTAAGGAGTTCAGGTTAGAAGTCTCATGAAATTAAGAAATTAAAACATAAGCCTAAAATTTGATGAAAAATCTTTTATAGAAAACCATACAAACTTCTCAAATAACGATCTCAGGCTCACTGTCCGATCAGAACTAAACGAACAAAGAGCTGCCAGATCATCACAGATGAGGTCTAGTAGAGCCGATGTCCAGTCGGGGTTGCGCATGTTGTCTCGCCGATCGGATCGGAGTAAGAGTAGGAACGAGTTGGCTTTTAGTCAGTAAGTCTGACACGCACAGGGCGGAGGAAAATATTGGATGATTTCGAACCATAAAAAGCCCTATCAAATTAAACTTATCGACGCTTATGTACCATACAATGAATCGCTAATTCTTGACAATATGAAATAACAATAAACAACCGAACCTATCTAACATTTCGTCTTTAAATATATTCAATGGACAAAATCATTAGAATAATCTATATCCATTTCTATTTAATTAACTTTAAGTCTTAATCCATCAATGTCTTCTTTTGTAACACAATATATTCGCTGCCGTGTATCGTCATTTACAAGTACTATTTCATATTATAGGCTGGTTTTACAGTCACGCCGCTAGACGCGCCGTTGGACAGCGCGCTGTTGGACAGCGCGCGTTTGAACAGCGGTGCACCATAAAACGACATTAGTACGTCGCGTTTCGCTGCTGACAGTCGTGTACAAACAGATACAAAATGAACGGCAATGCGGTTAGAGTACTGGCTATTTACTTTTTATGGAAAAAAAGGCAACAAAAACGTCGAAGAACAGTAGGTGTTGATTTCACACAATTCACACAATTCCTTTCCAATTTCTTCCCAGGCTTTATTTTTTGCGTCCTTATTCTTATAAAAATCATCGGTCGGGTCCCATAAACATCTTCTAATTCGCACTTCGTCAATTACTCGACCCGTATCGATGTGATTCATTTTGTACACAACAGTACCTAACGGCACGTCTCAACGGCGTGAGACTAAAACGCACAATGGCCGTAGAAGCGCACGAGCGGCGCGCGCTTCGACCGCGCCGCGCGAATAGGACGCGTTCAACGAACGGCGCTGCTCAAGCGCGCGAATTTGAAACGCTACTAATACCCCAATACATATCCGAGCGCGCGCGCTCCGACGGCGCTGCCGAAACGCGTGACTGTAAAACCAGCCATACTTTTGCTGTCTTTTTCTTTGCAACATCGTATATTATCTGCCATGTATCGTCATTAGGTTCACGTACTATTTCATATTGTACTCTTACTATGTTCACAGCAAAACAAAAAACTTTTGGCAAGAACATCCTGCGAGTTCAGAAAGCGACCTTCAAGAAGATGGGAGTTTGTGGCCTGTTTGCAGTGGACGCATCACTGCCGCTACGTGTAATTGCATTCATCACTACTTATACCATTGTCTTGTTACAATTTGTGTTTCTGTAACAATATATCCAATTAATAAAAATTTCATATATCCTGTCATTATTATATACGTGAAAGTAGAAAGTTAAAGTTAAACTTTTTTTCGGTCGTAGGTGTGCAAGCGAACACACGCCTTTTGTGTTGCACAAAGCATCATAAAATACAATCTATTTTTAATTTAATTTTTAAATAATTAATATTCAGTAACCAAGTACTCACAGTGCAGCAAACTGTTTAAATAAAACTATTTTGGCACACCACCTGCCAGCACATCAAAAACTTTTATTATCATAAGACAAGAAGCACAAATTTAACACTGCACAATGTCCCAACTGGCTGAGGTATTGTCCGCACAAAAGTCACTGGAGGAGTGCTTCATGAAGAAGATGAATGCACTGGAGGCGCAAATCCAGACTGCTGGCCCAGCGAAGGACACAGTTGCGAAGGTGGCAGAGGAGTTCCGGGCTTTCCGTGATTTGGTCATCGGTATGCTGGGACTGCTGCGACGCCAGATCGGTGAGTGCTCTCGACAGCTTGATGATATAGAGACAAGAAGCCGCCGTAAAGCCCTTATCATCCAGGGCATAGCTGAGGCAGCGGGCGAAGATTGCACCAATGTCACTCTGGGGGTGATTAATACAAAATTAGGCCTCAATTATACAAAATCATCAATAAAGGTCTGTCACAGGCTGGGTCAGGCCAATACTAACCACCACAGGCCAATCCTGGTGAGATTTGCCAGCATAGATGCCAGGATGTCAGTCTGGAGAGCCAAAACTGGCTTCAGGGGCTCCAAGGTTGCAGTAAGGGAGTTTCTGACGAAGACACGACAGAGTGTTTTTGGAACTGCCCGTCAGCACTTCGGCATGAAGTCGTGTTGGACCCAGGAAGGTGCAATTTTTATCAAGGCTCCTGATGGCAGTAGGCATAAGGTGACATCCCTCGACGAGTTAAATCCTTTGCTGGCTAAGTACCCAAAGGCACAGGATCCCTCGGTTGGCAGGCCGGAGTCAGCGGGAGAGAAACTGAAAGGTACCAAGAAATAGTTATATTGTCAGGACACTTGCAGATTTTAAACGAAAAGTATATTGGTGCTTATTGATCTGCTATTCACTTACTTGGTATGTTCTTTCTTCGATCCCCTGAACCCAACAACATTATTCTTAAATTTCTAAATCTATCTGTTATATTGTATAATATTATTCTCTTTGTCCTTATAGTTTTCTTTGTTCTGTCCTTTTAGATATTATCTTACCCTCATTATTATTTATGTTTTCTTCAAGTCGTTGTCGGTAGTCCTATGCCTTTGCAATATCATACTATCATAGATTAATTATTTTTATCTTGTAATTGTTTGCTGTGTACTATGTACGGAATTAATATTCTAAGGAGTCATTCACCGTCAGTACAATTAATCTATGACTATGATATTATTTATTTTGGTTTTGAAATTCAATCACCTAAATAGTTCACAAATTCACATTCACAATATGTCAATTTTGTCATTATTTAATTATCAACGTCAACTGTCAACTGTCATTTAGATCAGAGCCTTTTAAGAAACAACACTGTTTTATTGCCGAATGACATTTTATGGATATAATTTTACTTTTATGTTTAATATTTTCAGTAATCTGTGTAATTATATTCATTGCTCTTTTTTTTACCTTATCGTGTGTTTTATCTTGGATTTTTTTACTGTTATTGTTTTTAAATTTTACGTTTTGTTTTGATGTTAGCTGGCGGGTGGTGCAGAGTTGCACTTAACAATAATTTTTGGAAGCATTTTGGTATTGTAGTATTGTACATACCATTAAACTTTATATTTTATTCATAGTATTTATACTTATTATATTTTATATATATTTTGTAATTTTGCATATCTATAATATTATTATGTTGTCTGACGATGATTCTTTTAAATCGGCCAATGACTCCTTTAATAATGACAGCTTTTGCTCCTTGGGTGACAGTCTCACTGACTTTGTTTACTCTCAATTCACCAATACCAACAATCGGCTGTTGAATATCTGTCATTTAAATGCACAAAGCATCCCCAGCCATTATAATGAACTCTTTGACGTATTCAGCAACAGCAATGTTCACGCTATCCTGATATCGGAAACTTGGCTCAAACCACAACTACCTTCCACTACCTACCCCCTTCCTGGGTACGTTCTAATACGGAACGACCGAACTACCAGGCGAGGAGGTGGTGTAGGTATATATCTCCGCAGTGAACTCTCTTATAAGGTACTATTTACATCTTCACCCAACTGTCCTGCGGAGTATCTCTTTCTAGAAGTTTGTAGCCAAGGGGGGAAGACTGTATTGGGGGTGGTCTATTGTCCTCCTAATATTGATTATTTCACTGAATTCGAATCAGTATTGGAATCTTTGGGTTCTGAGTACATGCATCACATAATCATGGGTGACTTTAACACCAATCTCCTTTCCAATGAGTCCCCTCGATCCCGTAAACTCCTTCACATAGTTGAGTCGGCTAATCTACATGTGTTACCACTCAATCCCACTCACCACAATACTGCAGGCGACGACTCCTGGCTTGACCTTATCCTTACTTCCAATCTCTCCCTTGTATCCTGCCATGGTCAGCGTGATGCTCCGGGTTTTTCTCACCACGACATGGTTTTCCTATCCTATATCCTAAAGCCACCCAAGGCGAGGCCTACGGTCTTGTATAGGCGTTGTTTTGCGCGGATGGACGGAGCAAGATTGCAGGAAGACGCGTCATCAATCGACTGGGAGCCCCTGATGGAAGCCACCTCAGTCGACGAAAAGGTTGAGATTTTTAACGCCACAATAATAAGCCTTTATGACCGACATGCTCCCATTAGGCGGATAAGAATGAAGCGACTGCCTGCGCCCTGGATGACTCGTGGTATTAAAATGGCTATGCGACGTAGGGACCGCGCTTTCCGCAAACACAAGAGGGATCGCACCGATGAAAGCTGGGCAGCTTTTAAGCTAGCAAGAAATCGCTGTAACCAGATGGTGCGTAACGCTAAACGCCGCCACGTTCTCGAAAACATCTCCTCTGCTTCTTCTGCCGATATTTGGAAATTTCTTGGGACTTTAGGTATCGGCAAAACGCACGATATAGAACTACCCAGCTCAATTCGCTTAGACGATCTAAATCATCATTTCTCTACAGTACCTACCATAGATCGTCTAGTGAAACAAGATACTCTAAGGTTCATCTCTGGTCTTACGCGTCCCAACATTGCTACTCCTTTCCACTTCATTCCAGTTGATTCGGCAGAGATTGGTAGGATTATCCTTTCAATTAAATCAAAAGCGGTAGGATGTGATAACATTTCTCGTAACATGATTATAACTGTGCTAGATCACCTCCTACCGGCTATAACCCACATTATCAATTTTTCCCTGTATTCCGGATCTTTCCCATCCCTTTGGCGTAAAGCCTTTGTCCGCCCTCTTCCCAAAGTATCTACTCCCACTCTTCCCAGTCAGTTCCGTCCTATATCCATACTTCCTTTCCTGTCCAAGGTGCTTGAGGCCTGTGTACACAAACAACTATCTGATTTCATTTACAGGAATTCACTTGTTAGTCCATTTCAATCGGGCTTCAGACCAGGCCACAGCACTGTTTCCGCCCTCCTTAAAGTGACTGGCGATATTAGAGTTGGCCTTGAGGACGCTAAAGCCACAGTCCTGGTTTTGGTTGATTTCTCGAATGCCTTCAATATGGTCAGTCACGATATCCTTTTAGCCATCCTATCCCATCTTGCGATCTCTGGTGGGTCTCTGGCATGGTTTTCTTCTTATCTTCAGGAGCGTCAGCAGTCGGTCAAGCATGGTGATATATCATCAGGCTGGTGCGAATTAAAAGCTGGCGTTCCTCAAGGCGGCATACTATCACCACTCTTGTTTTCTATTTTTATCAATCTCATCACTTCTGACCTTCGGTGTGCGTACCATCTGTATGCAGATGACTTGCAGCTGTACTGTCAGGCTGGGGTAGACTGCTTGGCCGATGCTATATTAAATATTAATGATGACTTAGCCACCATTAGTGCCTGGTCAGCTCGGTTTGGCATCGCGGTAAACCCGAATAAGTGCCAGGCTATCATCGTCGGAAGCTCTCGATCGCTAGGTAGGGTTGACAATGCATCTCTGCCAGCCATCCTTTTCGACGGTGCGATCGTTCCTTACAGCAACGATGTTAAAGATCTGGGCTTACATATTGACAGGAATTTAAACTGGCATACACAAGTCGCTAACGTGTGCAAAAAAGTGACCGGGTCGCTGCGGGCCCTTTACCGCGTGAAAAACTTGCTTCCGACCGTCACCAAGACGATGCTTGTACAGACCTTGTTGTTCCCTATAATAGATTATGCTGATGTTTGTTACTATGACCTGAATGCAGATCTCCTCAATAAACTCGACCGACTTCTGAATAACTGCATTCGTTTCGTTTTCAACCTGCGCAAATATGATCATGTTTCTGCACATCGGTTGCAATTAAAGTGGTTGCCCATACGCCAGCGTAGGGAGCAAAGGGCGTTAACCACTTTATTTTCCTTTCTTAACTCGCCTTGCCCACCTAGTTATATGTCCTCTTACTTCCAATACACATGCGCAAACCACAATAAATATCTTCGCTCTTCTAACAATCGTCTCCTCAACTGTCCAACTCATCACTCAAAATTTCTCCATTCCTCATTCTTCGTTCAGGCTATTCTTCTGTGGAATGCGCTACCCCCCGATAT